GACTCGACGTAGTTCGCGTCGAAAAAAACGTTCATCGTGAAGACCCACGATTGAACCGTCGGACCTCCACGCTGGCTCGGGTCGAAACAGGGCGGGCGCTGTGGCTTGAGTGGCATCGGTGCCATAATGGCGTGGTCGCCACTTGTCGCTGCAAACTCCACGTGCAGACGGGCTTCGTGAGGCTCTTGTGGGCTTGGTGCGGCCCTGTTCCTCTCCATGCCCGGCATTGATTGAGCGGCGCCAATACTGGTTGCACCTGAGCGCTGTCCCACGCTGTCATTTTGTGTCGGTGTGCCTGATGAAATGACAATCGGCTCCTCCGATTGTGCAGGTGCATTTGCAAGTGCGTGTGGTGGTGCTGGAGCATGCACTGTGGATTGCTGACGAGCAGAGTCGCGTTCCGCTGTGAGTGTCGCAATTTCGGGCGCCGAATCTTCGATTTGGCGCACGAGACGGTCGAGCTTCTCCTGCGTCAGTGTCGCGAGAGTGAATTTGGCCATGGCGGGGGTGTCGGGCAAGCTCAGCGAGAGCCTCTGTCATGGCCGTGCGTGCTTACGGGAGAGCACTTCGAGCGGCGGTGCTTGTTTCGCTGAGAGACGTCTACCCCCCCCCAAAACATTGAGATAAGCGAAGGTGTGGGTGCGATCCGAGAGGAGATCGTAGGCTCTGAATACCAAGTGTTACGAGTGCAATTGGGCGAGCGAGCGAGGACTGCACTATCGAAGCAAGAGTACAATGAGCGAAGGCATGAGCGAAGAATATATAGCGAAACTACAGTGGTAACGGTAATGTGTGGAAAATGGGGTGCGTGACGGGCCTAGCGCCGAGGTTGGGAAAATGTCGAGGCGGAGGTCCGGAGCGCGGGTTACCAACCGAACAGTGAGGTTGGGTCGCGTCGTGAACAGTGGCGGAAACAGTGTCGAGGCGAGTGACGCGAGTGGTAACGGATTACTGTTGGTTGCTTTTGGCGGGAACAGTGGTGTACGCGCTGAGCAGGGACGCGAAGTTAGGAAAAGGAATTTTCCTTAGACCGACCCTGAATTCTTGGAAGAGTTCGTTCTAAGAGGCCATTAGAATATTTCTGTAAATTGTCCTGACTGCTTTCTTCGTCATGTCGTGATTCACGTGATGATCTACTTCTCGTTCTAGATATATCCGCATGACCCCAGACGCGTGCCTAAGATTACTCTAAAAACCCGATACTCAGCAGATCGCGGTAGATCGCCGCACAGCGCCATGAGCATGCGCCCCGCGCGCTCCGGTGCCCACGTGCCGGCCCTCCTGCGCGCCGTGGGCAGGGCGTATTGGAACCACTCGCCGCTTCCCGCGTCGGCAGCCGCATCCCAGCGCCTCGTCCCAGACCATTCCGGTTCCGCCCCTCGCCGTCCACCCTCTCACCCGCTCGCCTCTCGCCCGTTTCTGTCCCTTCCTCCGCCCGCCCCTCTACTGCTGCCCGCCTTACTCCGCCAACCCCCTGCCCGCCACCTGTGCACCGAGGGGCCTGCGGTCGGCAAGGCGCGCGAGCAGACAGCGGGGACAGAAGCAGCAGCGGCTGAGGCTGAGGGGGGAATGGCGCAGGGTGCGGGGCAGGAGGCGGAGGGCAGAGTTGGCGGCGAGGGGAGTGCGCAGGAGGAGGAGTGGCGGCGGCAGGCGGAGGAGGCGCGGGAGCGGCTGCTGCGCGCGTACGCGGACATGGAGAACCTGCGCCAGCGCGCCCAGAGAGACGTCGACGCCGCGAGGCTCTTCGCCGTGCAGGTGCCACCCGTGCAGGTGCCACCCGTGCAGGCGCCACCCGTGCAGGTGCCACCCGTGCAGGTGCCACCCGTGCATGTGCCACCCGTGCATGTGCCACCCGTGCAGGTGCCACCCGTGCATGTGCCACCCGTGCAGGTGCCACCCGTGCAGTGCTGTGTGCTGGCAGCACAGGCCGTGCAGTCTGCCTCGTGGCCGTCTTGAATGGGTCGCTCCCTCTTAGCTACGCCCCATGCCTTGCTTCGCTCTTATACGGCCTCTGCATCCCCGTAACCTACTGCTTGTGCCACCTACGCTGCTGCCATGCCATGCGCTGCAGCGCTGTGCTCTCATCCATACACCTCCTAACAATGCCTTGCTTCCTGTCATACTCTCTGGGCTACGGTATGGGCGTGGCATGGCATGGGGATGGGCATGGGCGTGGCATGGCATGGCATGGCATGGCATGGCATGGCATGGGCATGGGGATGGGCTTGGGCGGGGCGTGGCATGGCACGGCATGGCACGGGCGGCAGGGGTTTGCCAAGGGGCTGGCGGACGTGGCGGACAATCTCTCTCGGGCTGCCGCCTCTGCCTCCCTGCCGCCACACCCCGCCTCCCCCGGCAGTGGGCAGGGCAAGGGCGGGGAGGGTGGGGGTGGGCGCGACCCGGAGGCGCTGCTGAAGTCGCTGTTGGATGGCGTGGAGATGACGGAGAAGCAGCTCATGCAGGTGCCACCCCACGCCCCTGCATGCACGCCACCCCACGCCCCTGCATGCACGCCACCCCACGGCCCTCCCTCCATGCACGCCACCCCACGCCCCTGCATGCACGCCACCCCACGGCCCTCCATGCACGCCACCCCACGGCCCTCCCTCCATGCACGCCACCCCACGCCCCTGCATGCACGCCACCCCACGGCCCTCCCTCCATGCACGCCACCCCACGCCCCTGCATGCACGCCACCCCACGGCCCTCCCTCCATGCACGCCACCCCACGCCCCTGCATGCACGCCACCCCACGCCCCTGCATGCACGCCACCCCACGGCCCTCCCTCCATGCACGCCACCCCACGCCCCTGCATGCACGCCACCCCACGGCCCTCCCTCCATGCACGCCACCCCACGCCCCTGCATGCACGCCACCCCACGCCCCTGCATGCACGCCACCCCACGGCCCTCCCTCCATGCACGCCACCCCACGCCCCTGCATGCACGCCACCCCACGGCCCTCCCTCCATGCACGCCACCCCACGCCCCTGCATGCACGCCACCCCACGGCCCTCCCTCCATGCACGCCACCCCACGCCCCTGCATGCACGCCACCCCACGGCCCTCCCTCCATGCACGCCACCCCACGCCCCTCCATGCACGCCACCCCTTGCAGCTTCCTCTGAAGCTGTGTGTTTGCCATGCACCTGTGTTTGCCATGTACCTGTGTTGCTGTGTGCGTCCATGTGTGTGCGCGCACTTGTAATTGTGCGTGCATTCATGTGTGTGAATGTTTGGCTGTGCATGCGTGCATCTGTGCTGGTGCGTGCATGTGTGGTGGTGCGTGCATGTGTGGTGGTGCGTGCATGTGTGGGTGGTGTGGTGGTGTGAGTGAGAGCGGCACGTGGCAGGTGTTTCGGCAGCATGGCATGGAGCGCCACGACCCCATGGGGCAGCGCTTTGACCCCAACCTGCACAACGCCGTGTTTGAGCTCGACGACCCCACCAAGGAGCCCGGCACCATCGCCCACGTGCTCAAGGTACCATCACAGCATCGCCCACTGCAAGAGACCGATTGTTCATCCTGCTTGCCTGCAATCGCTGCTTGCCTGCAATCGCTGCTTGCCTGCAATCGCTGCTTGCCTGCAATCGCTGCCTACCTGTGCCCCTGTGCGCCTGTGCCCCGGTGTGTCTGGCAGGTGGGCTACACTCTTCACGGCCGTGTGGTGCGCCCAGCCGATGTGGGCGTGGTCAAGGGCAGTCACGCATAGTCCATGCACGCGTGGCGATGGTCAGTCAAGCGCTCTCAACCCTTGGCTTGGCCCACTGCCCAGCTGGTCACTGCATGTGGTCACTCTGCTGCTGAGACACATAGGAACCCTAAACCCTGCATGCTGGCAGGCGGGTAGATGTCGCTTAGGAGGAAGTGCAGTGTAATGCAACACGTGCTAATGAAGGTGTTAGCCGCTTACACACTCATATGCAACAATGGATTGCAACCATGAAGGCTCACCTGCAATCACCCTATCGAACATCTGCAATTACTTCATCAATGTGTACATGATACGCTCTAGACCCCTAACGATTCGTAAGCCATAATAAAGCAGCACGCACCAAGACCACACGACCATGCGAGCAGCAAGCCTCTCTGTTGGCTTATCACCGTCAATCCAAGCACGTGCGCGATGTTTGTTCCGCCCACCACCACTCCACAGTTGCTCCCCAGCGTCCCGCCGCACTGCACACCTCACTCTTGCGCTCGCATCGCCTCGCACTGACCCCGCAGCTCTCACCCACAACGTCCTTCCGCCTGCCTCGCCTGTCGCCTTCCCGCCCCCCGTGGAGCCATGCGAGGCCAACTCGTCGCGATCCCGCGCTGTTCCTCGCTCTTCCCGCTCCGCGCGTCTCACGCGCTCGCCTCGTGCTCTCTCGCCCCTCCCGCGCCACCCCCGTGCCCCTCTCGCTCCTTGCGGTCTTTCCTGCGGCGGCTCGCCGCGTGAGTAGTGGACGGTCCTAGCGCAGGATAGACGCGCGAAGCTGCGGAGATCGACGCGTCAATTAGTGTGAAATAGACGTGCGAGGTGCTTCGACGCGCCGCCGACATGCGGTCGTGCGACGCACTGTGATTGTCCTTCCCAGTGTGCGACAGCCGCCAGTGAGCGACAACCGTCAGGGTGCGACAGTATCCTGTGTGCGACAACCGGCGCGGGGATGGTGGCGAAGCGAACTCGACAGCTGGTCATTGTGAGACGCGCGGCTGCTGCCGCCCCTGGTGCCCCCCTCCACCCGCCCCTGTTGCCCCCCTCCACCCGCCCCTGTTCCCCCCCTCCACCCGCCCCTGTTGCCCCCCTCCACCCGCTCCTGCTCGCACCGCTCTCGCCCGCCTTCATCTGCGCGCACTGCGTGCTGCTGCCGCCTCGCTCCATCCATCCCCCTCTCTCCTTCTCTCCGTGCCCTCACTCTCTCGTGCGGCGCGGTTGCTCGCGTTTTCCTGCCATGCAACCTCATCACATGGCGTGTTGACACGTGCCGTGTTGCCACATGGTGCCACGTGGCAGGGCGTATTGGCGGGCTGCATCATCACCGCTATCCTCTATCTCTTCGCCGTGCTCCAGGTGCGCGCAGGTGCGCGCAGGTGCGCCCAGGTGCGCCCAGGTGCGCCCAGGTGCGCGCAGGTGCGCCCAGGTGCGCCCAGGTGCGCCCAGGTGCGCCCAGGTGCGCCCAGGTGCGCCCAGGTGCGCGCAGGTGCGCCCAGGTGCGCCCAGGTGCGCCCAGGTGCGCCCAGGTGCGCCCAGGTGCGCCCAGGTGCGCCCAGGTGCGCGCAGGTGAGCGCAGGTGAGCCGAGGAGAGCCGAGGCGCTCCAATACGCTCTGCTGCCATGCTCTGCTGCCATGCTCTGCTGCCATGCTCTGCTGCCATGCTCTGCTGCCCAGCATCGAAGTCATCCCTCTCTTTCAACACCCACACCCTTGACTTGCATGTGCCATGCCATGGCGTGGCGTGGCGTGGCGTGGCGTGGCATGGCATGGCATGGCATGGCATGGCATGGCATGGCATGGCATGGCATGGCATGGCATGGCATGGCATGGCATGGCATGGCAGCAACATGTGGGGCAGGAGCGCAGGAGGCCATCAGTGGATGTGGATGCGCGCCTCCGCGCCATTGAAGGTCGCCCACCCATCCCCTACCTCCCATGCCACTCACTCCCATGTCGCTCACTCCCATGCCACTCACTCCCATGTCGCTCACTCCCATGCCACTCACTCCCATGTCGCTCACTCCCATGTCGCTCACTCCCATGTCGCTCACTCCCATGCCACTCACTCCCATGTCGCTCACTCCCATGTCGCTCACTCCCATGTCGCTCACTCCCATGTCGCTCACTCACATGTCGCTCACTCCCATGTCGCTCACTCCCATGTCGCTCACTCCCATGTCGCTCACTCCCATGCCACTCACTCCCATGTCGCTCACTCCCATGCCACTCACTCCCATGTCGCTCACTCCCATGTCGCTCACTCCCATGTCTCCATCCGCGTTGCTCCCACCTCGTGCATCCGTCATCTTCACCTTCCCTCCCCTCTCTCCCCTTTGCTCTCTCCATCATCTCGCCTGCCTTTCGACCGCTCTCCGTCCATCCCTTAACCCCTTGCCTGCGCCCCCCTGCCTGCCACCCTGACTGTGCCCGCCTGCCTGCGCCCCTGGGTGGGAGAGCAGAGCAAGTGGCGCGGATGGCAGCGGCGGACGTGGTGGGGGTGGTGAGGGAGGAGGTGGGGCGCGTGGGCGGGCAGGTGGAGGCGGTGCAGGCGCTGCAGCGAGCCAGTGCGCAGGCTGGGGGGGATAGAGGGGCGGCGCTGGAGGCGAGGGCGAGGGAGGCGGAGGAGAGGGCGGCGCAGCTGAACGACACGGTGGGGCGCCTGCAGGCCGCTCTCAGGCAGCACAGCGCCACCATCGCTGCCATGCAGGTGGGCAGCACGCTGGTTGCCCGCGGGCGGATTCTTTCAACGCATCCCTCCCTCCACTCCACCCTCACTACCATGCCATTCCATTTCATGCTGTATGTGCCATGACCAATACATGCCATGACATTACATGCCATGCCATGCCATGCCATGCCATGCCGGGGCACCATATCCTGCACCGCTATGCGTGCATGCGTGCAGGCAGTGGAGCAGGCAGCAGCAGGGGCGGCAGGTGCGGAAGGGGGGCGGGCGCTGGGCAGGACGGTGGTGGAGGAGGACCACCCGGGGCGATGGAGGCAGCACACCTTCCACCGCACCGGCGCCTATGGCTTCATCCAGTACAGGTGCGCCTATGGCTTCATCCAGTACAGGTGCGCCTATGGCTTCATCCAGTACAGGTGCTCCCTGCCCCACCGCGCACGTCGCTTTCACTGCCTGCCACTCCTGCCACCAACCATCTAAACATCCCTTGCATTCCCAACCTCCCATTACTGCACTCTTCTTCTCCCCCACTCCCCTCACCTTTTCTTCGCTCTCCGCCCTTCGCCCCTCTTCCCTCTCTCTCCTTGCCCCTCGCCCCTGCCGCTGGCCCCCGGCATGCAGTGCGTACCGGGTGTCAGCGGCGCGCATAGCGGTGGTGGGGATGGGCGCACTGGGGCTGCGCAGCAAGCGGCGAGTGGAGGGGTGCTGGTGGCACCGCCTGGACGGGCACACGGTGATCGCGGGCAAGCTCACGCAGATGGTCATGGAGGAGCACCACAACTACCTCGTGCGTTCAACGCGGGGGGGGGGGGGGGGGTGGGGGGTGCACGGGTGCAGAGAGGGGAGAAATTGCTCTCGCATCGCGCTTTTTTGTGATTTTGTTTGCTCATCTGCCCCCGTGCTGCACCTTTGCTGCCCCGTGGTGTCCCCATGCGTGGAGGCAGTACGAGCTGGTGGTGCTGCAGTGCGCGCTGGAGGAGGAGGTGGCGGAGACGGGCGGGCATCTGCGCATCTTCCTCGACCGCCAAGTGCTCTTCCCCTTCCGCGAAGACACCAAGGAGGTGCGCCAGGGGGGGGGGGGAGACGAGGGAAGAGTGGGGGGCAAGCATGTGAGGGAGGTGGGAAGGGGGGGCATGCGACTGTGGAAAAGTGTGGCGGTAGGAGGATGACGTGGATGCAGGCACTCATGGATGCAGGCACTCATGGATGCAGGCACTCATGGATGCAGGCACTCATGGATGCAGGCACTCACGGTGCAGCCACACATGCTCATCACCATCTTCACCCCGTCCCTCCCCCCTCCCCCCTCCCCCCAAGGCAGAAGATAGACAACGGAACGGGACCCATGCCGTACCGCTTGGCGTACTGCGGCCCCCCCATGCACGCGGAGATGGAGCAGCGCAGCGTGCAGCAGTTCATCGCCTACCACCGCTACGCCGCCGGCTACGACCACTTGCAGCTGTACGACGCCACCGCCGTCACGCCCGCCCTCACAGCGGCGCTGCAGCCGCTCATGGACGACGGGCTGCTGACCATCGCTGACTTCCGCCAGGCCTACCAGTTTGACTCCTGGTACTTCTCCCAGGTGACCTCACTTGCACCCACTCGCTCCTGCTGCTCCCATCTCGCCTGCCTGCTTTCCTGCCGCTATGCTCCCGCTCCTACCTCGCACCTCTCCGTTGCCAGCACTCAGCCGTGCCACGTGATCCCCTGCTCCCCTGCGCCAGGCGGTGGCGATGCACGACTGCATGTATGGCATGCGGCAACGCGCGGACTGGATAGCCTTCCACGACCTGGACGAGTACCTCGCACTGCCCCCGCCCGCCTCCGTGCCCGCGCTGCTGCAGCGCTACGCCGCACTGCCCTACATCACACTCGGCATGTACGTGTTCAGCGCGCACCTGTGTGAGGAGGGGCCCGAGGACGTGTGGAGCGACGAGGAGAAACGCTTTGCGGTGGAGCGCATGGTGCAGCGGCGGGCGACGCCGTACTGCCTGCGTGCTGAGGACGACCCGAAGCTGTGCATCGACTACTACGGCCACCGCAAGACGTTCCTCAACCCCCGCAAGGTCAGCTGCTGCTGCTTGCTGCGCTCTTGATGCTTTGCTGTCGTATTGTTGCTTCTCAGGTGATTGAGCCAGCTGAGATCGTCACTGTTTCGTGCTGGTCGGTGGTGGCCATGGGGCGGTGGGGCATGCGTGGGCGGTGGTGGGCAGGTGGAGGCGGTGTACGTGCACCTGGTGGACAAGCCGGCCACGGGCGGGGTGGACCTGAGTGTGGACGAGATGTACTTCGCCCACCTGCGCTCGCTCACCGGCAAGGCCGTGGCGTGCCGCCCGCCCACGGACAAGGAGAACGACCTGCCGCCCGCGGAGCTGGAGAGGTGCACCACCGTGGCTGAGACCGCTGCGCGCGCCCGGGAGTGCGCCCAGGAGGGCTTCTCCAACCAGGTGGGCCGGTGGGCAGGGCCGAGGGGTCGTTGGGTGCGCTCTATGATGGGTCTCCGTGCCTCCCCCACCACTGCTGCTATTGCCTGCCCTGTGCGTGGCTGGTGTGTGTGCTGCACCACTCACGCCCCCCACTCCCCTATGTTTTCCTCTGCAGTTCCTGTGCAAGCCCAGAGCCACACGCTAGCTGCCTCTCCACACGCCTGCCATTTGCTCCGCCTGCCGCCGTGCAGCAGTAACCTGCCATGCCCACCTCGTTCCAAGGGGAAGGGGCATGCTTCGAGCAACGCACTTGCTGTGCCATGAAAAGGGAAACCTGATGCTGCTGCCATGCGTGTTGCATGTTGCGTGCTGTCATATGCTGAATGCGGTTGATGCGGGTGCTTCCATTCAACTAGGTTCCACCAACCGTTACCTAGCAGCAGGTCAGGTGCAGTGCAGAGGCCACAGCATGGCCACTTACACACGTGCCATGTGCCACCCGACCCGACTCGTAGCTGCTATTCGTCGCACCTTGCAATAGCGCACGTGTCAGTGTGCACGTGATACCATGATCTGCACTGTAAAACATTGATGCTTTTGCAAGGATCTAGAACTCGTAGCAGACAGCCAAGCACCTACCCGTATTTTAGCAGACAGTATATTGTCGCCTTGCCTTATTCGCGGCCTTCGTACCACAATCAATTCCTCCCTGCGACACTCCATTCCTCCCTACAACACTCCATTCCTCCCTACAACACTCCATTCCTCCCTACCACACTCCATTCCTCCCTACGACACTCCATTCCTCCCTACGACACTCCATTCCTCCCTACCACACTCCATTCCTCCCTACGACACTCCATTCCTCCCTACCACACTCCATTCCTCCCTACCACACTCAATGCCTCCCTGTCACTCCTCCACACTTCTAGCCTGAACACCTCAGGTGGTGGCGGTTTGCTAGAGCCATGGAGGGATAGAGTGGACAGCATCTTGCATGCACAGCGTCTTGCTTCTTCTCTGGGTGAAGGCAGGGGCCACCATCCATTGCCTTTCCGCATGGCAAGAAACCTGCTTCCTCCATAGCAACCCCATCTCTCAACCTCTACAATCCCTGCGTGCATTGATTCTGCTCTCCTACGGTAGATGGAGCTAGGACTTAGTGTGCTCAGTACCGTGTGTTCAGATTAGCTTATCTTGCACAATAGAGCATTTATTCATCACTTGCGACAGCGAACCACGATGGGCACCCAAGCACGCAAGCTGCTGTGAGAGCACCGATGATGGTGTTGTGAAAGCTCTGGTGCACAGGCAAGCTCTGCCGCTTCCCCAGCGGGCTGGCTCAGCATTCTTTCTGTGTACATGGCACGATGGAGAAAGAGGTACTCGTAACGAGGCACCAGCCTCATTCCCGCGTGTGGCGGATAGGATCTCAGTGCGTGTTGGTTCGTCGGGGATTCCTTTGCTCCAGGTGTGAAAGACAATACTCGACTGAATGTGGAAGTATAATTGCAGGAAACTAAATCAGAACACGCCAAAAAGGTAAAAACACGGCACTATCTATGGGGGTATGGCCCCGTTTACCTAGTACACGTAGCCCTTCACGTGCAGGCTCTCCGTGGCGGCAGCGGAGGCGGCGCCGCCGGCGTACTTGCCGAGAGTGGCTTCGGAGTTGCTGCGCGCGCGCGTGGTGAACACCTCTTGCGCCGCCTTGAGGTTCTCCTCCTTGCCCTGCCACGTGGCGAGCGTGCTCTTCTGCAGCGCGCGCCCGTACGAGAAGGACAGCGTCCACGGCTTCTTCGTGTCCAGCTGGTTCATCGCGTTCAGGTTCACAGTCGCCTGCTCCTCGCTCTGCCCGCCCGACAGGAACATGATGCCGGGCACGGCGGCGGGCACAGTGCGCTGCAGCGCGCGCACGGTGAGCGCGGCGATGGTCTTCTCGTCGACCTTGGGGCCGTCGGAGCCGGGCGAGACCATGTTGGGCTTCAGCAGCGACCCCTCCAGCAGCACCTTCTGCTCGCTCAGCGCCTTGTACGTCGCCGCCAGCACCAGCTCCGTCACCTCGGCGCACTTCTCGATGGTGTGCGAGCCGTCGGTGAGGATCTCGGGCTCAACGATGGGCACGAGCCCGTTCTCCTGGCAGATGATGGCGTACCGCGCCAGGCCCTGCGCGTTCAGCTGGATCGCCAGCTCCGACGGCTCATTCGCGCCGATCTTCAGCACCGCGCGCCACTTGGCGAACCGCGCGCCCGCCTTGTAGTACTCGGCGCAGCGCGCGCCGAGACCGTCGTGGCCCTGCGTGGTGGTCTCGCCGTTGGTGCCGGCGATGTCGACGGTGCCCTTGTCGACCTTGATGCCCGGCAGCACGTCGTTCTCGACCATCAGGTCAACAAACAGCTTGCCGTCCGACCCCTTCTGGTACAGCGTCTCCTCGAACAGGATCACGCCGCTCAGGTACTGCATCGCGCCGGGCGCAGTGAACAGCAGCTCACGCAGCGCGCGGCGGTTTGACTCAACATTCTCGACATTGATGGCGCTCAGGCGCTTGCCGATGGTTCCAGTGCTCTCATCAGCCGCCAAGATACCCTTTCCTGGGGTCGCGATCTTCTTGGCGTTGGCAATCAGCTCCTCTGCAGTACAGCAAGGTATAAAAAATGTAAGTCAACCGGGAACTCAAGTCATTCGTTTCCTATGTGAATTCAATCAAGCTGAATGTTTGTGCAAGATTCGGCTAGCACGCAAGAATCAACGGTATCAGAGAAGCACCATGTGCTTTAGCAGAACTGGCAAACACCTCAAGAGATCGCAATATCGTACCTGCGTACTTGCCGTTGTAGGCGGCCATGGCTCTACAAATCTGAGAGTGAAGACGAGATGAGAGCTGACGAGAAATTACAGATAGAAGGAGCTTGGTGATGAAATTTGGAATCAGCAAGCTGAATTGAGGAGAATGGGAGACGGACGGGGATTTGAAGCACAAGAATCGGCCTTCGCAGGCGGGAGTTTGGGGGAGCACGACAGCGCGGCATGCCACGTGCAGAAAGGCATGCGATGATGTGGACGAACCAAAAGGCTTTTTTCCCCTCGGCTTCCGCGCCAGCTCAGACAAACCCCAGATCCGAGCACTTCGGAATGGAATCCTGCCAAACGCCAATTGCGCAGGGTCGTGCTGGCACTAAAAATATCGCCGCGCGGCGCCCAACCATTCGGCCTCCCCTGTCTCTGGATGACCCACGGTGTACTTGGAGGAATGCGGCCCGCTGCTGGCATCCACCTTTGCACAGTGACTCCCAATTGTCCCTAACGTGCCTCTTCCCTAACGTCCCAATTGTTCGATACCCCGTTGTTTTGTGTTTACGTAGCAGCGAGGCCACCATTGACGCGTACTGAACCCCCACCCCTCTTGACGCAAGTATACAACTCCAAGGGCGGGTCAGGATTGATGTGTTTATGGTTCGTATATCACTGTGGTTGGGAGCGTTTCAAAGCGGTGAATTTTCAATAACCGAGGTAGAGAGCACAACATCGTACTCAACCGCCTTCAATGAACTGTAAACACATTGTGCGTGACCCGCCCAAACCCTAATTTCCGTTCCCTCGCACGTTCCGTGCCGTGCGTGTCAGGCATTTGTTCACTGTGAGGCGCCTCGTAGCTCATTCGAAGAGACCGGTTCAGCAAGACTACGATACCCAGGATACCATCCCGTACCGTTCGCTGGAGAGTACTAAGAGCAGTTTATCTGCTTCTCCGTTCTCGTCGTTATACTTTGCGTGTCGTTCTCAGTCCCAGCAACCGTTATTTATCCATCCAACCACCGTCCATCACTCTAGTTCCGACCGCGCGGCAATGAGGGGGAGCTCGGGGGTGAAGCGGGTGGGCAAGTACGAGCTGGGGCGGACGCTGGGCGAGGGCAACTTCGCCAAGGTGAAGTTGGGGCAGGACGTGGAGAGCGGGCGGCGCGTGGCGATCAAGGTCATGGACAAGGACAGGATTCTGCAGCACAGGATGGCGGACCAGGTGACGCCGCCACTCCCGCTCCGCTCTCCTCGTCGCGCCGTTTGATGCGTTCCTGACTGCGCTCCGCGTCGCCGGCATTTGAACGCGACGCCGCGTTCATGACGGCGTTCGCGCAAAGCCGTTGTCGCGCCTCGCCACGCGTCACTCACAACCGGCTCTCCTCCGTTTCCGTGTGTTGCTCAGATAAAGCGCGAGGTCTCGATAATGAAGATGGTTCGCCATCCCAACATCGTCCAGCTTATCGAGGTACACTCAAACGCGTATATGGATGGAGGTACCGTCGAGCTCGAGCCCTATCATTCTTGAGTTAATGAGCTAACGCGATTCCTAGGGTCGGAACTTGAGAAGCGCCACGTCACCCAGCCGTTGCCCCCTGTCTCTCCGTGCCGTCCCGTGCATGCCGGCCGGCAGGTGCTGGCGTCGCGCAACAAGATCTTCATGGTGCTCGAGTTCGCGGCGGGCGGCGAGCTCTTCGACCGCATCGTCAGTTCGCGCGCCCTCCCCCTCGCGCTGCCGCCACGCTCGTCCGCACCCCCTCACCCCTAGCCTTCACCCCCGCACCATCGCCCGTCGCGCGGTTTGTCAGTCTTTGCCATCCACTGCGTCGCTCAGTCGCCCTCCTCGTTGCTCGCAGCTCACCCGCACTCACCTTTCCCCCACCTGCGATCTCCGCCCCATGCGCGCCTTCCGGCGGGGTTTCCCTGGTGTGTGCGCGCGCGCAGGTGTACCGCGGGCGGCTGTCGGAGAGCGAGGCGCGGCGGTACTTCCAACAACTCGTGGACGCCGTCGACTGCTGCCACGCCAAGGGCGTCTGCCACCGCGACCTTAAAGTGAGTCATTTATTTCATTACTTCCTTTTTCCTTATGCGGTTTCTGCTTTCCCAGTTCCGCCATTCTCTGCACCAACTTCACCACTTGCGCTGCACTTTCTTGCCTCTCATTCTCCTGCTCCCTCTCATCTCATCCCACTCTGTGCGTGGCGTCAGCCGGAGAACCTGCTCATGGACGAGTCTCTCATCCGCCTTTCCCCTCCGCCCTTCCCCCTTTCCCCTCCCCCCTTCCCCCTTCCCCCTCCCCCTGCCCCAGCCGGAGAACCTGCTGGTGGACGAGCGCGGCAATCTCAAGGTGTCGGACTTTGGGCTGAGCGCCCTGCCGCAGCAGCAACACCGCGACGGGCTGCTGCACACCACCTGCGGCACGCCCAACTACGTCGCCCCTGAGGTGCGCCCCTTCCCTCCCCTCACCCCTCCCCTCCCCTCCCAACTACGTCGCCATGCCTCTGCCTGCTCCCCCTGCGCTGCTGCTCCCGCAGTGCCCTTCCCACCGCACCGAACCCATGCCACCCGCCACCCCACCCCCTTCATTCGTCCCACACCTTTGTTACTTTCCCCCTCTGCGCCCCTTCTTGCCCCTGCGCACCCCTCTGCGCCCCTTCTTGTCCCTGCGTGCCCCTACCCCCCCAGGTGCTGCACAACAAGGGGTACGACGGGCGCAAGGCAGACGTGTGGTCGTGCGGGGTCATTCTCTTTGTGCTGCTGGCGGGCTATGTGCCCTTCGATGAGCCCGACCTCGTGCTGCTCTATGACAAGGTGTGCTGCTCTATGACAAGGTGTGCTGCTCTATGACAAGGTGTGCTGCTCTATGACAAGGTGTGCTGCTCTATGACAAGGTGTGCTGCTCTATGACAAGGTGTGCTGCTCTATGACAAGGTGTGCTGCTCTATGACAAGGTGTGCTGCTCTATGACAAGGTGTGCTGCTCTATGACAAGGTGTGCTGCTCTATGACAAGGTGTGCTGCTGCCATGAACTCGCTGCACTCATGCGCATGCATGCTCTCACACGTGCTGCATGCTGCCAGCCCTTTCCTGCAACTGCCTTGCCTCTCTACCCAACAATCCTCTCCCCTCTCCCTTTGCCCCCATCCACTCCCCCTCTCCTGCTCTCCTCCACCGGACGCTATCCCCCCTCCACCAGATATCCCGCGCGCACTTCAAGTTCCCCGAGTGGTTCTCCCCCGGGGTGAAGCGCCTCATCACGCGCATCCTCAACCCCGACCCCGCCACCGTATGTATGCCGCCCCCCTTGACCCCGCCACCGTATATATGCCGCCCTTCTTCACCCCGCCACTGTATGCCGCCCGCCCTCCTCGCCCCCCGCTCCTGGTCTTCCTGAGTGTCCCCCTGTTCCCTCTCCCCGGACCCCATCCGTGCGTGCTAACTGCATGCCACGCGCCACCTCACCGCCTCTCCTTCCTCCGCACGCCCTCATGCTCCCACCAACCCTTCTTCCGCCCCTCTCTTTCCCATTCTCCCCTGGCCCCCCCTCCACCTTTCTCCACCCTCTCCTCTTTCCCGCCCCCCTCTCGCGCCCGCCGTGCCGCGGTGGTGTGGCAGCGGCCGGGGCTGGAGGCGATACGGCGGGACGAGTGGTTTCAGCGCGACTACCAGCGCGCGTACCCTCTGCCCGATGACACTGAGGGCCAGGGAGGCACTGAGGACGTGCTGCTGCATGCCCGGGTGAGGGGGGAGGGGGGGAAAGGGGGGGGGAGTGGCAGGGGGAGAGGGGGGCGAGGGAAGGGACGGGATGGAGAGGGGCAGAGGGAGGGTGGCATGGTGGTGGTGGATGTGCTGATAGGATGCTTCGCTCTGTGCTGTGCCATGCCCTCGCCCTGTCCCCATTCCTCTTGCTTACTCCTCAAGCCTCCGTCCATTCCCATTCCTGCCCGTGTCCCGCTGCTCTCCCGTGTGCTCATGTGCTCCCCGTCCCCTCCCACCAGCTACACCCAGTGGCGGAGCTGTCTGTGCGAGTGGCGCACTCGCCGTCCCTGCAGGCATCGCTGCCTGTCTCCCTCAGCCCGCGCACCACTGCAGCAGCCGCACCACTGGCAGCGCTGGGTGGTCGTGAGGCACAGGCAGGGGTAGCGGAGGAGGGGCGGGCAGGGGGTGCAGGAGAGGGGGGGCCGGGAGCGGGGGCAGGGGAGGAGGGGCCGGAGTTGGTGAACGCGTTTGACCTGATAGCGCGCGCGCACGCGCTGGACTTGGGGGCGCTCTTCCACCGCCGCGCCCACCCCGTGCTGCGCCACACTCGCTTCGCCTCGCGCCTGCCGCCCGCCCTCATCCGCTCGCGCCTCCTCGCCCTCGCCCCCGCCCTGCACGCCCACGCCCACGCCAACCTCTTCAAGGTGCCGCGCAGGGGGCGAGGGGTGTAAGGCACGGGGGAAGGGGGGGATAGAGAACCTGGTGGGAGTCAGGCTGTGTGGCGAGAGGTGGTCGCCGTGAGATGAATGCTGTGCTGTGCCCTGCGCTTTGCCATCTGCCTTGCCATGTGCTTTGCATATCCTGCACTCACCCCTTGTGCCCGCCCTCTTATCTGTGGCCCCAATCACCTCATGTGACCCCAATCACCTCATGTGACCCCAATCACCTCATGTGACCCCAATCACCTCATGTGACCCCAATCACCTCATGTGACCCCAATCACCTCATGTGACCCCAATCACCTCATGTGACCCCAATCACCTCATGTGACCCCAATCACCTCATGTGGCCCCAATCACCTCATGTGACCCCAATCACCTCATGTGACCCCAATCACCTCATGTGGCCCCAACCCTCCATGTGGCGGTGCTGCTGCGGGCGGCACATGGCAGATTCGGTTGGAGCGACCAGCAACAGCACAAGGGGGGCACCTCACCGTGGTCATTCAGGTATCTGCTCATGCCCATGCATGCCCACCCATTCCCATGCCCGCATCTGTGCCGCGCGTGTGTGTACCGTGCTTGAAAGCATGGGGCTGCATCACAGAGAAACTGTTCCTCTGCCCCCCATGTGTTGCTGTCCCATCTCCGTCACACGCGCCACTCGCACCACTGGCACCACTAGCAAAATCACTTCATGACTTGTCTGTCGTTGCGGTTGGGTGGGGTGCGGTGCAGATATTTGAGATGACAGCGGGGGTGTTCATGGTGGAAGCACGCAAGGCTGCTGGCGACACCCTCGAATACCACAAGGTCAGCAAAGCCTCCTAACCCCTCCTCGCCCCTCCTCGCCACTCTTCTTCCCTCCTCAACGCCCCCTCTCGCCCCTCGTTGCCCTTCCTCGCCCCGCCTCGCCCGCCACTGCCACAAGTTTGTCAGTGGGCTACTGCGGTCGCCCTCACCGCTCTCCTCTCTACGAAGCTGACTGATAACTTGAGCGTGTGCGGCAAGTAATGCAGGGGGTAGGCACAGTGCAGTTATTATATCTGCTTGCATGTGATGTGATGCATGCCCGCCCACCACTGCATGCACGCCACTCGCCGCACCTTCTGCCTCTCCACCAGCTGGCCCCTCCGCAGCAGGAGAGCATGAGCGGGCAGCCAATAAGTATACTGAAAGTGCGCTTCTGTGTTCTGCGTGTGGGTGGGTGGGTGGGTGAGTGTGTGGGTGTGTATGAATGCCATGTGTGCGGCCTGTGCCTGTGACACACCACTGTGCAGTTCTATCGCAGTCTAGTTGCACGGGCCAAGGACCTTGTGTGGCATCCAGACGCCGCTGCCGCCCTGCCAGCATCACCACAGGCGCCACTGGCAGTGCCGCCACCACTGGCATCCGACAGTCCTGCAGCAACCACGGTAGCAGCAACAACAACAGCACAAACAGCAGCAGGAGGGGCAGCAACAGCGCCAACAGCAACAGCAACAGCACCAACACCAACAGTAGCAGGTGGTAGTGACGTGAATGAAGGGACAGTAATGAGCAGTGGGAAGGTAGAGGAGCCACAAGGGCGGATGGAGGAGAAGCACAGAGGCTCACCCACCACCATGCATTCTACAGGATGTGTGCTGCCAACAACAAACAGCAGGCGTGGGTTTTCAGGCTGACCAACATATTATGTGATGTATGTTGTTGCAGTTTGTGTGTATTATAGCGTTACTCTGTGTGCATATCATTTTGCAATGGTTGTCAGATCCCATTCCACATTCCTAAATCACTTCAGTTCAGATGTTTGCGTAGGTGAGATGTTGAGATGTGAATGAACATACTTAATTTTGTATGTTGAAAGAACTCCATTCTGGTTGTACCCAGTTTCATCCGCCTGTACAGGTTTGCATCTCTGGTCCCTGAATGCATACATCCGCCTACGTGATAATATTGAGAGAGGTTGACTTTCTTTATGTACAGTACGTCCTACCGTCTACGCAAGTGTAGTGTAGCTCAGCTTGTACTGTACTCACTTTTGTGGCTCACGACAGGGTGTGACCCACGTGAAGCCGTTGGTGATTGTTTCCAGAAGCTGCCTTTAGCGGTTGCCACGCAGGCACCTCACACCTGACTCGGTCATCCTGGCTTCCCATTTGTTTCCGAAATTTACCGAGTGTAGTGAATGAGTCTTGTTAATCCGAAATTTCCGAATTTCATGCGTAGTCCCTGCTAACAGTTTGCTAAGTTTGAGAGTTCTTACGAAAGGCCGTCCTGATAAAAAGTTCCGTCCTTTCGAGGTCAATTGGCGCATTAACTCGTTGCAATCTTCCAGAAGCCATCTGAAAATCCAGCTGTGAGTACTGGTATAAACGACAGATGCCAGTCTGTCTGGTCGGCCAGCTCAATTATGAGAGTTCACTTCGCGTTTTTTGCTCAGTCTTGGAGATTTCGGTACGTCCAAATCCCAGACGACCGAAACCTGGGTGCCCAGCATGGCAATGGTGACTCGGGTCTTGCCCAGGGCTGGCTAGGCTTTGACCAAACCTGATCTGAGATGTTTGGCCAATAGGATCTGCTAGGGTGGCCAGCCCTAACCTCAACTGGCGGTACCCGTCACCGACCCGTCCCAGCAAGCACGTGACACGCTCAGACCCGAATCGCATGCCGCGTGATGTGGATCATAAAATGTGCAACTGATCCCTCTGGCCCTCGCATGCTTCCGTGCGGCTTGTCCTCTCAACACCAGAAGACCAGACACGTTTTAGGAACCACCAGCTTTTTGGATCAATCATCGGCCAACTTCATACATACTCGAATTATTCCCGAGCGAGTTCTCAGGTGTAATCAGCCTGGACTTTCTCAACGTTGATTGGTCGTCGCTTTTTAATCACATTTCACGCTGGCCGAACTCTTTAGGAAGTGACAAAAACAGAAACATCCAGTTTACCCTCACGAAAATTAAAGTACGGAAATTTACGTAGGTCCGAAAAAAAAAACCCTCTAGGGAACTTGGAAGCATTTTCGGGAGGGATCAACCCTAAACACGGGAAAGGGCATTGTTTTTAGGGTTGATGCCTCCCGAGTCACATCCCTTTCCGATTGGGTTATATTTTTGGGTCAGGTAGGGTGCATTATATTTTTCCAAAATATTGGGTGGCTTGTTGTTATATTTAGGGTTGAATCGTCCCGAAATTCATACAGGTCCGCTACAGGTTATATAGATTTTATTCAAGTGCTGTAATTGTTTTAGTGACTGTATACAGAAAACAACCCGAATAGACTCATACTATATCGCGAATCTGTGTTTCTGTTGGTGATTACACCTGAGAACCCGCTCGGGAATACTTTGAGTATGTATGAAGTTGGCCGATCAATCATCGCCAGCTCCGTCGTATGTCTAGATTCTAGAGAGCGATTATGCCTGCTGCTACTTCAAGTGCATTTTTCCTGCATCCCAACGTTACACACTGGCTTTTCAACTTCCAGGCTCCTTACGTATATTGTTTTACTACCACAGCCGAACTTGCTAAGTACTTTTTCGACTCAGATACGCAGCTAACGCATTGCTTTTCCGGTTTGAGCTAGCAATCTAGCACTTCGACGAATCGAAAGAGCGGCCAGCCATGATCATGTGCCCTCGGAGCTCGTCCTTCGACGGGGCCGTCTCAGTCTCTTACCGCCCATCCGTCCCACACCCACCTATTTCGCCGTCCGGAGTCGAGTCGCCGTCGCGGCTAGGCCAGAGCCGTTTGGACGACGTGGGGATGCGCTCGCTGGAGAGCAAGCTTGAGCTGCTCCACGCGCAGCGAGAGCTGAGCGCCCTTCGCTGCCAGACGTTCATCGACCAGCTCGAATCCGCCTTCCAATCCCAACCTCCCACTCAAGCCGACCGACTCGCACGCCGCCCTCCTTCCGTGCGGGCGCGTCGCGCGTCGCTCGATCTGTCGAGGGCGGAGAGCGCGCAGTTGGCGCAGGAGTTGCGGTTCTACGATGAGCCGGCGAGGTTCGCCCGCTCGCACTCCCACAGCGCCAGTGCCAGTCCAGCCGCCGCAGTGCCGCGTCCGCGATTCCCGCGCTCCAAGTCGCATCGCGGGCCCAGCCGAGGCTCCTCCCCCAGCCCGGCCGCTTTCGTCCGCCGCCACTCCAGCCCTGGTGTCGCCCGCCACTCCCCCAGTTTGTCGTTCTCATCAGCTGGGACGAACGGGCCGGAAGGTCTGAGCTGTAGTTTGGGGGTCCGCGCGAGCAACGCAGGCGCGCGCGAGTCTTTCATGGTGTCGCGACCAAGTCTCAAGGACCGCCCGTCGTATTCCAGACACGACGACGACGTGCGGGAGGCGGAGATGATAGCGCGGGAGGCGGAGATGATAGCGCGAGAGGCGACTCGATGAGAGTCGCGACTGCGACTGCCGCGTGACAGCATGCGCGGACAGGCCCGCGGACAGTGCGTGACGCTCCAGCTGCACTCAAGACGAGTTCACCTGGAGCTGCGGGCAGGGTTGGGGCGTCGTGTACCTGCGCGTTGGAGTTGGACATTGAAGCTACGGAAGCCGCGGTGCAGCACCTCGCTGGCGCCACCGTGCTGGTGGCGGGACGGAAAGAGAGCATCCGCGCCCACAACCTGGGCCAAACCGCGCAGCACTTATCCCAGAAATAAGTCGGCAAGGGATTTGGGGAGGAATGCGGGGGCTTTCGAACCTTCAACTGCTCCGCTTCCGGAGGCTTTGCCCATTCCACGGCCGGAGGAGTGGTCGCCTCCATCATTCCCCTACCCACCGGAGTCGCAGCCTCAGACTCACATTACAGATGAGACGGCGCGTCTGTGTTAAGGACGAGAAAGGGCAATGCATACTCAGCGGCTCGTGTGAGGCGATGGAAGCCATCGGAGAATGGCATTAGCATTTGACAGACACCATCGTGAAGCACCATAGCCGGATCAGCACGCTCACTGATCTGCCTGTCATACGGGATTTCTCATTTGTAGCGTCATATTTGCAGCAATACCACTGATTATAGCATGATTGACGTAAGTAAATGGGACAGTTGCTTAGAAGGTATACTTAGAAGATAAAATAAATTCCAATAATACATTTTTCTGATTAACGGCACTTTTGCGGGAAGTAGTGCCGCAACAAAATCTTGAGCCCGGAAGATTCAATCCAAAATGAGGCGAGAAGAGATGGCCAGGCGGCATGGCATGGCAAAATGACGACGCTGACTTGGCATGCTTGCTGTCTTCCTGTTCCTTCACAACCGCATTAGGCGCACAAGAGCGCGCAAGCGGGTAAAACCAATCCCTCAAAAGGGCAAAACCGAGGCCAAGGCTGGTCCGATGCACGACGGTGCAGCGGAGAGCTGGGTTGTGAAAAAAGTCCGCACGGATCGCGGCAAAGGTCCACGTTGGCGTGGCGGAAAAGGTGGTCGTTGGGGCGGCAAGGCGAAGCGCCACGGTAATGCGGAAAACTGACAGTTCAATCGGCGAGTGCGGCTTGCGCCCGCTGAATCCGCGTGCGCGCGGCCCAGTGAAACACGGACTCATCGGCGCGACGCACGTCCACGCACGGGGGCCCGTGGCGAGTCGACGACGCCGACGGGGCTTTGGAGTTGACTTCCTCTCGAGCCACGCGCATACGAGCCGCACTGGGAGCAACAGGTTCCGCTTGCGACTCGCAGGCTCGCGTCGTTACAGCAGCAGGCTCTGCCGCGGCCACGCGTGGTGCGCTGGGAGCAGCCCACTGCGGGCAGGAGAGCGTCCGGCGGCACGACGGCGACGACGTGCACGACTGCTCGCAGGCGAGCTCGACGGCGACGGACGGCGTTGCGCACGACTGCGTGCGCACGAGAGTGGGCCGGCGGGGACTGCTGCCATGGCACGCGGCATCCCAATAGTAAAGACGGCGCTGGAGGCGGGAGGGAGAGGAAATGGCGGCGATCGGGTTGAGAGACGAGGAGGCGGGGTGGATGGTGCATTCGCAGCGCGTGGAGACGAGCGATGAGTCCGTGCTGGGAGCGGCCGGATGAAGAACGACGTTGGAGGGAAGCACGGGCAGAGAGCTGGTCTTGAGCAGCGACGAGGGGGAGAGAGCACCGCCCATACTGACTGACTGACACGAAGAACCTTGAAGCTGGGCCATTTAGCGTAGTTAATTTAAACGACAGAGAGACACCCAGGGCAATAAAATGTAGCGCTGCTGAAGAATGAATTGGTTCGAAGGGTCATGTTTGTGGATCAAATTGGGGGAGACTCAAGCCAAGACTTCTTTATCTGCCTCGAAAGCTTCCTGTGGGGGACACAACGGCCCTGGACGGAAAGCAGAGAAAGCGGGCCCGCCACAGGCTTGGGGTTGCTGTTGCAGACGAACTGGGAGAGGTGGAGGCATAGATGAGGCCATAGTTTCCCGTCAACCGCCATGTGCGCGGTCCTAGCACTGTTCCGCGCATCATGCAGGGGAGGGGAGTAACAGTGAGCACACATGCACTCAGCGACGGGGGAAACAGTGCGTGCTTGTGGCAGCATTCGGAACTTGTGTTTTCCGAAGGGACCCGTCCTGTCTGAGCTGGACAATCGAAACAAATTAACTTCTGAATGCCGTCGTGTGAACTGAAATCATTGGGTGCTTTCTGGTTTGACATGGCGTACAAAGCTGTAATCTACACTTCAATCTGCCCCTCACAACTGTAGTCCGAAATCAGGGGCCTTTTCCTCTGATTGGGAGATATACTGAATCTGTACAGAAAGACACGAGCGATGGATCTGCAGCATCTGCCTCGTTCACGTTCAATTGAACAGTACATATTACAGCTGTCGAAGTGTTGCCTCACTTCCGAGGATGGTTGGGAGAGGAGGTGTACATACTGGAAGAAGCATCGCTATAGTAGGGTATCCAAACTGGAAGTTCCTCCACACCGGCGGTAGGCCGACGAGCTGTTTTGGATGAGTTTGGCACACAGGCTCAACAAATCACCGAGGAGCGTGGGGTGGGGGATTAATGGGCATGTGCGCCCATAATCAGGGGCGTACGAATGAACTCCACCTTACGTAGTGTACCAGAACGTTAAACCTGCGTAAGTCAACTACACCAACTGAGATGAATCATCACCAAAGATTCGTCACCGTTGTTGCGTTGGCCCTTCATCTTCTCGACGGAGAAGGGAACGTGATATGTTCTTTTTTCAAACCGTACTCAAACTCCGTTTAAATTACACAAGCCGCTTTACCACGTACAACATCGCACCGCACCGTACGAAAGTGCTTGTGTGACACGCCCCTAACCGCGAGTGCAATGGCAGTTGTACTTACAACGAAAAGCGACACCATTAGGGAAAAGGGAGCTTCTGGAACAACTGTAGTCGGCGTCGTCTGCTCGAGAGAGGGGGCTGAATTGTCCTTTGCTCAGATTACAACACAAGTTGGAATGTGTAAAGCAGCAATTCTTGGTGTCGCACAGTGCAACACGCGTGAAAACAAAACCGCGTGAAAGAACAAGGTGGTTCATGGTAATCAGGTGTGCAGCACTGTATGAATGTACGTTAAAAAACTACTTTACAGTGGTATGGATGTACTCCTAAGATCTAATACCCCCTCCAATTCATTCCTCACCAGTTATAAACATGCTGAAGTACTCATCTACATGCAAGGAAAAAAAAAAAAATCTGCAGATCACGGAAGCTTACCGTTTTACATTGATGCTCGTGAATTTGAATTGACGAGAAATGATTGCACTACCACATTAGTGTTAACATCTATCCCCCTGGCCTAAGAACTTACAATACACGCGTACGAGCGTGTTTTGAGGAGCCTCGAAAAGGCTCCAGCTTACGAATCCCTGAACAGGCAGTGCATGTACAGCAGGTGTAGTCAGGGATGAATGCGTGGGTTCATGCCCACCTCATCATGCCATGCACCTACCTACCTACCCACGCACCCACACAGGGGCTTATTAGAGCCGTGAAGTGGTGCTCATGTTAGCGGGTCAAGGCATCCTCCTGGCGGCTAACACCCATCGTATTATCTCATCATCTCTCTCACACCGTTTGCTGCCACCCTTCCATATTCACCATTGACTCTCCTCTTCGCCTCACACCCTGCACACCTTCTCCCTAGTTACACCCATCCCCAGCCCCCAACCCCCCCACGTTCACGACCCCCAACTCCCTCCCCCATCCCCTCTGCTCTGCCCCACTGTCTCCATCCACCCCTCCTGGCCTGCATGAATGCCACAGCAGGTGGCAGTGCAAGAAACTTCCTCTGGTCACCTGTCTGCCCCCCCTCGGCCGCGCTGCGCCTGGCTCCTGAGCAGGTCCAGCAGCGCCCTGGCCTTGCCCTTGGACCGCTGGGACCCCGTCTGCGCCACCTGCTGCAGCGCCGGCACCATGCTCTCCGCCAGCATCGCATGGCAGCTCGCCGGCTCACTGTTCGCCAGCATCAGCAGCGTCATCACCGCATCCTCCTTGGCGCGCTGTGACCCCTGCGCCACCACGCGCACGAGCGTGGGGATGGCACCAGGCAGGTCCAGCACATCATCGCAGCCCTCGGGCATGCGGCACAGGTTCGCCAGCACTGCCATGGCCTTCTCCTCCAGCCCGCCCTCCTCGCTGCCCAGCATGCCCACCAGCACCGGCACCGCCCCCGCCGCCACGATCTCAGCGCGGCTGCGCTGGTCGCGCGACAGGTTGAAGAGCACCAGAGCCGCGTCCTTGCGCCCGCGCGTGCTGCCCGACCGCAGCACGTCCACCAGCGGCAGCACCGCCCCTGCCCGCCGCACCAGGCACTGGTTGCCATCATCCACTGAGAGGGCAAAGAGCGCCGCTGCAGCGTTCTCCCGGGCCACCTGCGACCCTGACTGCAACACACCCGCCACGGCGTCAATGCCGCCCACTGAGGCGATAATAGCGGGTGCACCGGGCACGAGGGAGAGGTTCAGAATGGCGGTAACCGCGTGCTCCTTGATGGCGGGGTGCGCATGGCGCAGCACTCGCACGAGCGCGGGCACGCCCCCCGCGGCGATGAGGCGTGACTTGTTGTCGCGGCTGCCCTTGACGAGCGCCCTGATGGCCGCCACTGCCTCCATGCGATCCGCCTCCCCCCCGTGCGCCACCGCCCGCACCAACGTCACCATGTCCGGGGGTGACGCCGCTGCTGCTGCTGCCAGCGGGGAGAGAGGATGGGCCGAGGAGCCGTCGACGTCCCTGTGGGAATCAGCTGCAGCTGCGGCATGGTGGTTGGAGGACAGTGATGACGTGCGCTCCAGGGATAACCGACCCGAGTCCCCACCCTCTCTTCCCCCTCCAGGCCCCCCTGCTCCCCCCTGTCTTACTCCCGGCCCTGCTCCTGCTCCACCTCTCCCCCCAGTTCCTCTTCCCCCACCTCCTCTTCCCCCATCGCCCATCCCTCTGCCCAGCCCTCTCCCCCCTGCCCCCCGCCCTGCGCCCTCCCCATGCAGGGGGAACACAGCACGCACCTTGGCCCATCCCTGCCCCCGCCCACCCCCTCCTCCCCCCTCTGCAGCCCCCTCCCCGCCTCGCCCCCCTCCTCTGCCTGCCCCTCCCCCCAACCCCCGTCCACCTGCTCCCCTTCCCCCATCCCTCATCCCCTCGTGCCCACTGCTGCCCTGACTCCCACTCCTCCCCTCGCCCAGCTCCCTCCCCCCCACCGCCATCCCCCTTCCCTGCGGCCCCTGCCCGCCCCTCCCACCCCCTCCACTGCGCCCCCCCTCAGCCTCCTCCCCCCGCTCCCCCTGCGCCCACTGCATGGCGGCTACCGCGTCCTGCCCCCCATGCTCTGACGACGACCGCCGAAACGCCTCCTCCGCCTTCCCCCCGTCGCCCCCCCCGCCCTCCCCCAGCCCCACAGCGCGCCTGGCCTCCCCCCACAGGCTGCGGCGCTCAGGCGCGGGCACAGTGGCGCTCTTGCCGTATGCTCCGGCCCCAGGTGGGGTGGACGGGCGCACCCCCGCGCCCCACGCGGGCAGGGGGGGTTGGGCGGAACGGGGACTCAGCGGGATGGACTGGGCGGAGTGGGGGGCGGGGGCGGTGGGGGCGGGGGCAGCGGGTTTGGGGCTCTTGAGGGGGCTGCGGAGGGCCTCTCGCAGCCAGGCAAAGGTGCCACCCACCCTGCCCACCCGTGGCTGTGGTGCCTCCTCCTCATGCCCATGCTCATGCCCATGCCCATGCCCCTGCTGCTGCTGCTGCTGCTGCTGCTGCTGCTGCTGCGCATGCTGCTGCAGTTGATGCGGCTGCATGTGCCCACTGCCGCCATTCCCCTGCATGGCCTCGTACCCCCCGTGCCCATGCACCCGCCGGTCCCCCATGTTCCCCATGTCCCCCACATCCCCCTCACTGCCATCCGACCCATCGAGCTCATCCAGCAGAGCGGACGCATCAGGGGGCAGGGAGTAGTCGGAGCGGCGGGACGACAGCCCGCCACCGCTGCCACCGCTGAGGCGCCGGGACACGGCACGGCCCTCGCCTGAGCTGCCCATGGGACCACCCCCTCCCAGGGCGATGCTGCTGCTGCTGCTGCTGCGGCTCTGCACTGCCAGCGACGCCACTCTGCGGTGCGATGCTGACAGCTCCGCCCCTGCTGCTTCCCCCCGCCGCACCCCTCCCCCCACCCGCCCCCCCTCTGCCTTCATCTCCCTCACCACCTCGTGGAACCCTTCTGAACCGTCCATGCCCTCCATTCCCTCCATCCCCTGCTGCCGCCCGCTGCCGCCCACCACAGCCAATGAGGACGCCCGCCGCAGCCCCTGTGCGCCGCCCGGAAGGGACATGCCTGAGGGCGGTCCAGTGGGGTCGAGCGCGGTGGTGTGCAGCGCCCTGTGTGCCGCGCGGCCCAGCCCGCGATTGTCCGTCTGTGACGACCCCCGCTGCAGCTGCCGCCTCCCCTGCGCCGCCCCTCCCAGGTTGCGCCCTGAACTCGTGCCCGCCCCTGCTGCTCCCCCTGCCTCCCTGTTACCTAGCCGCGACCCTCCCGCCGCTGCCCCTGCTGCCCTCCTGTGGCGCACGGACGACCCGTCGCTCTCCCAGTCGCTTCCCCCGCGCCCCTCCCCCTCTGACTGCGCCAAGCTCGACGCCCCCCTGTGCTGGCCCCTCCCCCTTGCCGCGCCCCCCTCCTCCCCCCCGCTCATCCCGCCCTCACCCCACAACTGCTGCTCGCGGCGCACGCTGGAGAGGGCGGAGAGGAACGGGTCGTCCGAGTCACTGGCGCCCATGCCCTCATGCCCCTGCCCCTGTCCCTGCCCCTGCGCGTGCCTGTGCTGCCCCCCCGCGCCCGCATGCCCCACGGACTGCACGCTCTGAATGGACCCTGAGCGCAGCAGCGCGCCCTCCTCCGCCACTCGCCGCCCCAGGCTGCGCTGCAGCATTGGCGGACTCCTTCCCCCCCCGCCCCCCCCGCCTCCCCCGCCCATGCCCGCCCCCTGCTCGCGCCCCTCGCTGCCGCTGCCAGCGTCTCCGCTGCTCTCCACGCTGCTGTCCCGCCGCCACCGCGGCGGCCCCCCCGGGCCCCCCAAGGCCCTCGCGCCCGCGCCCACGGGGCTGCGCGGACCCGTGGAGGCGCGCGGGGAGAGGGGTGTGGAGGAGAGGCGGGGGGAGGGCGGGCCGGATGCGTGTATGGGGGAGAGGGGCCCGGACGAGTGGATGGGGGAGAGTGGCGCGACGGCGGGGGGCGCGGAGGTGGGGGGGGCGGAGGCGGGGAGATGCGAGGCGAGCGCCCACGTGTCCATGGAGAGGTCGCGGCGCAGGGAGAGCGGCGGAGGGGGGTGGCGCGCAGAGGAGGGGGGAGCAGTGTGGCCGTTGGCAGGGCTGTCCCCCAAAGGCGGACCACTGTGGTGCATGGCGGCCTCCCGGCTACCCACGCGCGGAATGGGCGCCTCCCTGGCGCCCGCGGGCGCTGCTCGTCCCGGACTGCGCGGAACCCCAGGCGCGCCCCATCCCAACTCCCCTGATGCTGCGCCGCTGCTGCTGCTGTCGCGGATGGGCGGAAGTGACGACGAGGAGCGCCCAGCAGGGCTGCGCGGCAGCGCCGCAGCGCGCAGGGCGGCGTCAATGGCGGCGGCCCTGGCGCCCATGGCGCCGTCGCGCGACACGCGCATGGACGACGACCCCACGGGGCTGCGCAGGCTGCCAGACGCCGTCAGCCTCGGCCCCCCCCCCTCCCGCGGCCCCCCCTCCCGCGCCCCCACCTCCAGCGCCCGCCGTGGCAGCAGCGCCTCTGCTGACGTCGATGGAGAGCTCTCGCCCCATGCGGAACGACGCCGACCGCATGCCCGCCGCGCCCATGTTGCGCAGCGCGTTCGCCCGCCCGCTCGCCACCGCACCCCCTGCACCACCTCCCCCGGCCCCTCCCCCTCCCCCCGAGACTCCCCCGCCACCCGCCATGGGCGCGTCGGCGGGGCTGCCGGCGCTGGAGCTGCGGATGGCGCCGAGCAGCGCCGCCTTGAGCTCGCTGTCGCTGCCGTCGCTGCTCGCGCGGTCGCGGAACGACTGGCTCGCGCGCCCCGCCGCCAGCAGCCGCGCGCCGGGCGGAATGCCGCCCCCCGGCCGGCCAGGCGCGCCCCTCCGCGCCTCCCTCTCCGACGACGACTCCCCGCCACTCTCCCCCGCGAACCGCGACTGCGCCACCTCCCCACGCGCCCCCGCGCCGGCTGATCTGCGCGGCACGAGGTCCTCGACGGCGCCGCGGAAGGAGTCGCGCGTGGCGTCGAGGCCCAGACTGCCGAGACTCGCCGACAGCAGCCCCTGCGACTGCAGCGACGACGTGCGCCGCAACCCGCTCTCCGCGTTCCCCCCGTCGCCGCTACCCCCCTGCGCGGGTCGTTTTCCCGAGGGAATGCCGTTGCGGCCGTTGAGCAGCCGGAGCGACCCGTCCGCGTGCGCACCTGCGTGGCCCTGCTGCTTCGCGCGCATCATGCCGCGCTCTAAGCTGTCCGACCGCCCTACACCATCCGCCATCGCCCCTCTCCCTCCCCGCCCTCCCCTGCCCGCTCCTGTCCCCCCTCTCCCCGCGCCGGCCCCCCGCGCAGCCCCCCTACCCCCGAGGCTGGCGACGCGGGGCACGGGGAGCGGCTCGTTGGCGCGCCAGAGCGCGTCGGACTGGCCCGACTCGTAGCCGTCCGATTCGTCGTCCTCTAACGCGTTAAGGAGCGATTCGATATCGTCCGCCTTGGGTTGCAGCGAGTGCGAGCGCGCAAGACCCGAGGAGCTGCTATCCCCCCCGCCGTCCTGCCCCAGCACCCGCAGCACCTGCGACTGGCTCCCCCTATGTCTCGGCCCCGCCGCCTGCCGCCGATGCGGAGGCCCTGCGCCGTTGGGGGGCGCGCCTGCTGATCTCCGCGCGCCTGCTCCCCCCAACTCGTCCCCAGACAGGGGACTGGAGCCTATCCGCTCCGCGGAGGAAATGCGCGCTCGGGGACTGTCGGCGGAGGAAACGCGCGGCACCCCACCACCTAACACCACTCGCAGCACCGCCCCTCCCCCTGAGGCTGTGCGCGGAACCATTGCGCCAGCGGGGGATCCCCGCACCGCCTGTGCGCCATTTCCCGACGCGATGCGCTGCACGGATCCCCCGCTCGACACCGATCTTGAAACGGAAAGGGACGCGGAAGGGTGGTTGCGCGGAACACTTTCCCCGCCAGCAGGGGAGAACGGTCGGTCGTCCGCCCCCGATGGGGGAGTCCGCGGGCGCTGAAAGGCGCCGGGAAGCGTGGAAAAAGGGGCTGCAGAGCGCGGGCTTTTGGGCGGAGTGCCGGGGGGAGTGAAGGGGCGCTGAGAGAGATTGGAGGAGGGCCCTGGGGGCGGGAGACCGGCACACGCGGAATGTGCGCCCGGGGAGCTGTGGTTGCTATCGCGCCCGCTACGCGGAGAAAGCAGCTCCGCCTCTTGCGCGCGGAATTGGCGGAGTTGCTGTTGTTGTTGCAACCGAGACTGCTGCTGCTGCTGTTGCTGTTGCTGCTGTTGCTGCTGTTGCTGTTGCTGTTGGTGTTGCTGCTGTTGCTGCTGCGGCGGCTGCTGATATACGCCGTTCGCAAGCGGCTGCCTCCCAGAGCTGCCATTGCCCGAGCCTGCTAAGGACTGACCGCCGTGGCGCGACTGGGACGAGCGCTCCCTAAAGCTACCCGTCCCCTGCTGCCCCTGCGGGTCCACGCGCACGCACAGTACGCCCGGCGCGTACGGCACGGCGTTCGCGTCGCACCACTGCGCGATAAGCTGCCGAACCGCCTGGTTCGGAAACAACCGGTAGTGGTCTAGTCGCGATCCGGTGACGGGGCATATGCGGTTGCCGTCGCGGTACCATTTCTGGATGACGGCGCGTTCGAAGGTGAGGCCCGACGCCGTGATGACCGGGTCGGTGAGCAGCTGCAGCGACAGCGGACACACGAACTCCGCCGGCACCGCCGGCTGCTTGCCGTACCGCGTCGGGTGCCTCAAGCGGTACTGCGTGTTGGGCATCGCTGGCGGCGTTACCTGGCTCCGCGCAGAGGGCAACGGCTCGCTGGAAAGGCGGCATGATCGAGCGGCGACATGCGCGCCGGGATCGCCTGCTGTGCCAAACTTGGAAGTAGTCGTGGTTTAAGAACGCAACGCAGGAAAGCGCAAACTAGTGTCGTGACGAGTCAATAAATACAGGAAGGTAATTAGCGATACAGTCTTGACCTAACGATCGCCTGTCTAGACGCTGTTAGTTAGGAGGGTGAGACGTGTGGAGGGTGGATTAGGTTAGGTCAACTGCCATGGTGTTTGCAGGGAGGTCTCGAGGGTGCATGTGAGGTGCAACTTGTACGGCGGGCGGCGAATGCTGCTCCAAAGGGGCCGACGGGTAACGTTGCGATACGAAAAACTGAAGCAGTGGGAGAGAGCGGCGTTGCGCGGTAACGAGGCACGCGCACAAGACAACCCAGCAGCAGCGAACGATGACGAGCCTCGCGGAACCTTGAAGTTTGTGGAATATGGGGTCATTGTTACGCCATACTGCTTAAATTGTGGTAGGAGTGCAGTTGCATACAAGAGTGAGAGAAAGGACCATTCATACAATACAACTTCTTTAGCAGTAGAAATTAAGTACTGCCGCTGAGATCTGAGGGCCTTCCCAAAAGATTGGGATTTGTTCGTAACAAGTAATGCTAAGGGTGAGTGTTTGATGAATGAGTGCATAAATGCCGCCTGTTCCAATTGTACAGACAGTTTCATGCTGTCTTGATCCATAGTACCTTATGACAAGGCTGAGCGTCAAAAATCATGTACATACATCCATTCATACTACTTCTTGGATTGTCCTAAGTTCCTAAGAATGTTTAACAGCTCATGAGAATCAGCGCTTGCCTGACTATTCGCTGCAAGCTTGGCCAGTGGAGGAAGGCACCCCTCGGCCATTATTCTCCGAGCCATGGCATCCCCGCCATGCCGTGCCATGGCCAGCAGAGTGCACGCTGCCTTGTCAGCCGCATGCTGCGAGCTGCCTTCCATCACATCCACCAGCGCACACACCGCATCCTCATCGTCCGCAATGGCTGCCACACCCACCTCGCAGCGAGCCAGCACGGCCAGCAGCGATGCTGCCTTCTCCTCCACGCCCTCGCCGTGCCTCTCCAGCAGCCCCACCACCAGCGCCACCACGCCCAGCGCCACTGCCTGCTCCGCCGCCTGCCGCAACCCCACCAGCCCGTACAGAGCCAGGCACGCGTCCTTGAGCGCGCGGGGTGTGTGTGCCGTCTGCACGAGGTGCACGAGGTGCGGCACAGCACCGGCAGAGCACACAAGGCGCTTGCGCTCCTCCTTGGTGGACGACAGAGTGAAGAGTGCCGCAGCTGCGTTGGCCTTGGTGGCTTCAGCCGCCTCTCCCTGCGTGCCCGCCTCTTCCCCTGGTCGCAGCACATCAACCAACACCTCGATGCCCCCACACGCCACCACCTCCCTCGCCCCCTCGCGTGCCAGTGACACGTACAGCAGGGCAGCACATGCCCGCTGTGCCGTGCCCTCATCCTCGCACTGCGCCGCAGCCAGCAGCGGCGCCACGCCACCCGCCTGCACCACCCGCGTGCGGTTCTCCTCCACCTGCTTCACTGCCACGTGGATGGCCTCCGCGGCGACCCGCCACACTGCCACGTCAGCATCCTGCAGTGCGTCCACGAATGGCCGCATCTCTCGCACGGGCGTGTCCTTGCTGCGGCGGCGACTGCCACGTGGCGAGTTGGGATTTGACTGCTGCAGGCGGGAGAACGACGCGCTCGCGGAGAGGTACGAGCTGAGCGCCACGTCATTTGCGTCGTCCTGTGACGTGGCGGCGAGCTGGTGGTTGTGGCGGTGGCGGGAGGCGCGGAGGGGCGAAGAGGGGCTGCTAACGGCGCTGCCAGCGGCGGCCCAGTCGAGCGACGCGGTCTCGGAGAGCGACGAGATGGTGCGACACAGCGACCTGCCGCTGCTGCCTACGCCCATCACGTGCCGTGGAATCGCCAAGCTCGCCGCGTCTGACGCTGGCTGTTCGTCCCCGTGCCCCCTGCAAGCGGAGGCGCTGCGGCTTGGTTGAAAGGAATAACGGCGCTGCAGCGGAGAAAGTGGCGAGCGCAGCGGCGGGGAGGGCGCGCAGTCAGGGGGAGAGGCGAGCCCGTTGATGACGGCTGGCGCTGAGCGCACGGGGAGGACGGCGCGAGAGGCGCCGAGGGGCGACGCGGAGTTAAGCGGCGAAGGGGGAGAAGGGAGGGAATGGACGGGCGTGGCGTGGGAGAGGCACCAGGCGGCGATGAGCTGGCGGAGCGCGTCGTTGGGAATGAGCGCGCAGTCCGCGAGCAGCGCCCCCGTCTTGGGGCAGAAGCGGCCGCCGCGCGCGCGGAAGTGGTCAAGGCTTGCGCGGTCGTACGACTGGCCGGTGGGCGCGATGACCGGGTCGCGCATGATGGCGCCCGACAGCGGACACACGAACTCCGGTGGTACCAACTCCGACGATGCGAGGTCTGAAGGGAACGTCATATCAGGGAGACACGTGGCGGAATGCGGTATTCGCGAAGGTGGGACGGAGACGGGAAGGCATTGAACGTGGGCCATGGACCGCGATGCGGTGATGTTAAGAGGAAGAGCACGAAGAGACGGCTGAATCGAGATCCACGACGCTGGGAAGCCAGAGGTCGGCTGAATGTGGAGATGGCATGAAGGCTAGTGATGGAAGTGGGATGGTGGGAAACGACACACTGAGAGCACGAGCACGCAAAGGTAGGCTTCATGGTGGTCTTAGTGAAGAGAGCGGTCGCGCCGCGCAAATGGGCTAACCTGCACAAGTAGATGGGAAGAGCAGAAGGCAGGTTCATGGGGGCAGTTACTACTGTGGACTCACGTGCCGACTGGGGTGGACATGGCGGCTGGATGGTGAGCTTGTGGATGGAGGGAGGAGAGGAGCAGGTGGAAGCATCCAGGGGAGTTGCGTGGAGGTTACTTTAGCGAACTCTGCGACGTGAAAGTAACCGGCTATACGAGTGTCGTTCACGTTTCCCAGCACCAGTTGAATCTCCGGCGAACAACTGTGGGACCATGTCACTCCACCACAACATTCGCCCAAACCTTTTCAGTTACCAAAACCACGAGCCTCGTAGGGACAACCTTGTCGCGAGGCAACGAAGTTCGCACCGACACCTGGCTCACCCAGTGGTATCCAAGCTCTCTGGCATGGTACAGACGGATTCACTTGCAAAGCTCCCAAGTAGAACACTGAATCGATCTTTGTAGCACCTGTTAATAAAAGCATAAGGATGACATTGTTTCAAGCATGTCACTTCTATAATCTCCATCACCAGACCAAGCCTAGGGAGAACAATCCCCAGACACTGGTACATCATCTATCACAATTATGTCCCTGGGGCGGCCCCAAGCACACTGCCCCCAGGAGGAGCTCCCCCCATGGGTGGTCGGGGCGGAGGAGGAACATTCACGTTGGGCCCTGGCCCACCCCCACCTGCCCCCCCTGCACCAGGCGCAGGGGGAGGGGGGGGCTGCCCCGGCCGCCACCCCCCTTGGTGGGGCTGAGGGGGAGGAGGCGGCATGGCGTAACCCTGGCCAGGTGGGGGATAGGCGGGGGGAGGGCCGCCAGGAGTGGGGTAGCGCGGAGGGGGAGGGTAGCCTCCCCCTGGTGCTCCGCCTTGAGGGGGAGGGGGCGGATATCCTCCCCCTGGTGCTCCGCCGTGGTGGGGAGGGGGGGGATATCCCCTTCCTGGTGCTCCCCCATGGGGGGGCGGGGGACCATAGCCCCCCCCTGGTGCTCCGCCATGGTGGGGAGGGGGGGGCATGCGAGGCGGGGGAGCATAGTGCTGGGGAGGGGGCGGGGGCTGGTTCTGCTGCCAATGCTGTGGGGGAGGAGGTGGCATCTGGTGGGGGGGATACTGTTGGGATGGAGGTGGAGGGCGCATCTGGGGAGGGGGGTAGTAAGGGGGAGCAGGGGACGCGCCTGCACCGCCATAGGATGGGGGAGGAGGGGGGCGGTAAGGGGAAGGTGCAGGCGGGGGGGCAGGGGGAGCAGGAGAGGTGTACGGGCGAGGAGGGGGAGGGGCGGCAGCAGGGGGGATGGAAGGTGGAGGCGGGCGAGAGGGGGGAGGAGGAGGGGGGGCGGAGGGGGGAGCTGCAGCGAACATGGTGTGGGGGCGATGACGGGTGGTGGACGGGTTGTTCGCTGCCAGCAGTCGCTCTGAAAGGGGGGGTGGGGAGAAGGAGAGGACACGGGAGTTTAAAGGGAGGGTAGCGAAATTCTGAGACAGGTATAAAGTGTCACATAAGTTTGGTGGAGCGAGAGTATTAAGCATGTGAAGCTATTGGGGTGCAAAAGATTTGAAGGGTGAAAAACATACCCAACAAACTCCAATCACCAGGCATATTATCCAGAAGGAGAGTCTTTCAGCAAGCACAAAGCGAGTGATGAGCAGGCACAAAGGGAGCGATGAAGCACAACAGAGCACTCACCTGCTGGGGTGCCGTGTCGCTCCCCCTTGGTGTCCTTCTTGAAGGCATACGACACCGAGATGGCCCGGTTGCACAGGTACTGCCCGTTCATGGCCTGCACGCATGGCAGCAACCGGGGCAAGCCGAACTTTGGACTCATACACTCGTACCATCCTAGATTCTAACAGACAAACGTATGGAAAGCAAGGCGCAACACGTTGATGGCAGCATGTGCGAGGTACCTCAATGGCGGCATCAGACGCCTCGAATGAATCGTAGCTTATGAATCCGAAGCCCTTGGAGTTGCCACTCTCCGTATCCCTCATGATCTGCCCTCACACCATGCCATGCCATACCACGCGACAGTAGACAGTAAGGGAAGCGACTACAAAGCAGCGGGAGAAGGCATGAAGTCAAACGGGATAGAGCAAACACACATAAAGTGTCAACGCGACATAAAGGTCAGGCGAATGCCTAAAAAATTGGGAGGATGGAAGGCGAATGCCCACCTTGGGGTTGGTGACGATGACACCGAAGGCACTGAAGGTGTCGTATAGCACCTTCTCATCCACGTCCTGTTCGTGCGCGCGCATGCATGGATAGAGGATGGATTGATGGAAGGAGGGAGGGAGAAGAGGATGAGGAGGTGTACCGAGCAGAGTAAGACAAGAGTAAGACCGCGGGAAGCAGTGAAGACGGAAGATAGGGAGGGCGCTGTGAGCTTGTAAGGGGAATCAGAGACACAAGCAGGAGTGGATGTGTTGTATGGGGAACCTCGAAGAAGGTAGTTACGAGGTTGACGGGGTAAGTGGGAGAGTGACGGGGCAGATGGGAGTCTCACGGGGTCACCCCAAGTCTCACAGGATCAAAGTGAGTCTGACAGGGTCGATACGAGTCACATGGGATGAATGCGAGTCTTACAGGGTCAAGGTTACCGATGAAGAGGTTGGCACCGACGTCCACAGTGCGGCGGTCCTGGCTGGCCTTGTTCACGCGCATGGGGCGCCCAAACACCTTCACCATGTTCAGCACCTTCACTGCCTGCACCGGGCGTGACAGTCATGGGCGTCACAGCAGCAGATAGGTGAGACAGTACAAGAAACGGCAGCAGCAGATACTGTGCGAGTGGTGAGTGCGAGACAGCGGTATGTGGGTGTGGGTGTGAGTGGTGAGTGTTCCTGTGTAAGTGAGTGTGAGCGGTGAGTGTGAGTGGAGAGTGTGAGTGTGAGTGTGACTGAGTGGTGACTGTTAGTGGTAAGTGTGAGTGGAGAATGTAAGTGTGAGTGATGACAATGAGGGTGACTGTGTGAGTCGTGACTCTGAAGGTGAGTGTGTGTGAGAGGTGAGTGTGAGTGAGCCGACAAGTCACCACCTTCCCACTCACAAGTACGCATGAAACCACTAACAAGCCAACACCCCACAACTCATTACACAAAAATCCCCCAAATCACCACACCACACGCATCTCCCCCCCACTCATGAAAGCATCCCCCCCCCCCCCCACGCACATAGTCGGCATCCTCTTCGGAGCGGAACTCCACAAAGCCGTACCCCTGGTGCTGCCCCGTCACCCGATCCTTGGGCACATACACGTTCACTGCCGCGCGGGGGAGGAGGGCGGACGGGGGGGACGGGGGGAACGAGGGGGACGGGAGGGCAAGACGATTTGGAGAAGGGGGGAGATGCGGTGCGTGCATGCATGAGGAACCTGGGAGAGGGGTGAGGAAAGAGGAGAGCAGGAGAGGGGATGGCGATGGGAGTAGGAGGACTGCAGCTCGAGTCCCGCACCTGGGACTGCAGCTCCAGTCCCGCGCCTGGGACTGCAGCTCCAGTCCCGCACCTGGGACTGCAGCTCGAGTCCCGCGCCTGGGACTGCAGCTCGAGTCCCGCGCCTGGGACTGCAGCTCCAGTCCCGCGCCTGGGACTGCAGCTCCAGTCCCGCGCCTGGGACTGCAGCTCCAGTCCCGCGCCTGGGACTGCAGCTCCAGTCCCGCGCCTGGGACTGCAGCTCCAGTCCCGCGCCTGGGACTGCAGCTCCAGTCCCGCGCCTGGGACTGCAGCTCCAGTCCCGCGCCTGGGACTGCAGCTCCAGTCCCGCGCCTGGGACTGCAGCTCCAGTCCCGCGCCTGGGACTGCAGCTCCAGTCCCGCGCCTGGGACTGCAGCTCCAGTCCCGCGCCTGGGACTGCAGCTCCAGTCCCGCGCCTGGGACTGCAGCTCCAGTCCCGCGCCTGGGACTGCAGCTCCAGACCCGCGCCTGGGACTGCAGCTCCAGTCCCGCGCCTGGGACTGCAGCTCCAGTCCCGCGCCTGGGACTGCAGCTCCAGTCCCGCGCCTGGGACTGCAGCTCCAGTCCCGCGCCTGGGACTGCAGCTCCAGACCCGCGCCTGGGACTGCAGCTCCAGACCCGCGCCTGGGACTGCAGCTCCAGTCCCGCGCCTGGGACTGCAGCTCCAGTCCCGCGCCTGGGACTGCAGCTCCAGTCCCGCGCCTGGGACTGCAGCTCCAGTCCCGCGCCTGGGACTGCAGCTCCAGACCCGCGCCTGGGACTGCAGCTCCAGTCCCGCGCCTGGGACTGCAGCTCCAGTCCCGCGCCTGGGAGTGCAGCTCCAGTCCCGCGCCTGGGACTGCAGCTCCAGTCCCGCGCCTGGGACTGCAGCTCCAGACCCGCGCCTGGGACTGCAGCTCCAGTCCCGCGCCTGGGACTGCAGCTCCAGTCCCGCGCCTGGGACTGCAGCTCGAGTCCCGCGCCTGGGACTGCAGCTCCAGTCCCGCGCCTGGGACTGCAGCTCCAGTCCCGCACCGGGGACTGCAGCTCCAGTCCCGCGCCTGGGACTGCAGCTCCAGTCCCGCGCCTGGGACTGCAGCTCCAGTCCCGCGCCTGGGACTGCAGCTCCAGACCCGCGCCTGGGACTGCAGCTCCAGTCCCGCGCCTGGGACTGCAGCTCCAGTCCCGCGCCTGGGACTGCAGCTCCAGTCCCGCGCCTGGGACTGCAGCTCCAGTCCCGCGCCCGGGACTGCAGCTCCAGTCCCGCGCCCGGGACTGCAGCTCCAGTCCCGCGCCCGGGACTGCAGCTCCAGTCCCGCGCCCGGGACTGCAGCTCCAGTCCCGCGCCCGGGACTGCAGCTCCAGTCCCGCGCCCGGGACTGCAGCTCCAGTCCCGCGCCCGGGACTGCAGCTCCAGTCCCGCGCCCGGGACTGCAGCTCCAGACCCGCGCCCGGGACTGCAGCTCCAGTCCCGCGCCCGGGACTGCAGCTCCAGTCCCGCGCCCGGGACTGCAGCTCCAGTCCCGCGCCCGGGACTGCAGCTCCAGTCCCGCGCCCGGGACTGCAGCTCCAGTCCCGCGCCCGGGACTGCAGCTCCAGTCCCGCGCCCGGGACTGCAGCTCCAGTCCCGCGCCCGGGACTGCAGCTCCAGACCCGCGCCCGGGACTGCAGCTCCAGTCCCGCGCCCGGGACTGCAGCTCCAGTCCCGCGCCCGGGACTGCAGCTCCAGTCCCGCGCCCGGGACTGCAGCTCCAGTCCCGCGCCCGGGACTGCAGCTCCAGTCCCGCGCCCGGGACTGCAGCTCCAGTCCCGCGCCCGGGACTGCAGCTCCAGTCCCGCGCCCGGGACTGCAGCTCCAGACCCGCGCCCGGGACTGCAGCTCCAGTCCCGCGCCCGGGACTGCAGCTCCAGTCCCGCGCCCGGGACTGCAGCTCCAGTCCCGCGCCCGGGACTGCAGCTCCAGTCCCGCGCCCGGGACTGCAGCTCCAGTCCCGCGCCCGGGACTGCAGCTCCAGTCCCGCGCCCGGGACTGCAGCTCCAGTCCCGCGCCCGGGACTGCAGCTCCAGACCCGCGCCCGGGACTGCAGCTCCAGTCCCGCGCCCGGGACTGCAGCTCCAGTCCCGCGCCCGGGACTGCAGCTCCAGTCCCGCGCCCGGGACTGCAGCTCCAGTCCCGCGCCCGGGACTGCAGCTCCAGATCCCGCGCCCGGGACTGCAGCTCCAGTCCCGCGCCCGGGACTGCAGCTCCAGTCCCGCGCCCGGGACTGCAGCTCCAGTCCCGCGCCCGGGACTGCAGCTCCAGTCCCGCGCCCGGGACTGCAGCTCCAGTCCCGCGCCCGGGACTGCAGCTCCAGTCCCGCGCCCGGGACTGCAGCTCCAGTCCCGCGCCCGGGACTGCAGCTCCAGTCCCGCGCCCGGGACTGCAGCTCCAGTCCCGCGCCCGGGACTGCAGCTCCAGTCCCGCGCCCGGGACTGCAGCTCCAGTCCCGCGCCCGGGACTGCAGCTCCAGACCCGCGCCCGGGACTGCAGCTCCAGTCCCGCGCCCGGGACTGCAGCTCCAGTCCCGCGCCCGGGACTGCAGCTCCAGTCCCGCGCCCGGGACTGCAGCTCCAGTCCCGCGCCCGGGACTGCAGCTCCAGTCCCGCGCCCGGGACTGCAGCTCCAGTCCCGCGCCCGGGACTGCAGCTCCAGTCCCGCGCCCGGGACTGCAGCTCCAGTCCCGCGCCCGGGACTGCAGCTCCAGACCCGCGCCCGGGACTGCAGCTCCAGTCCCGCGCCCGGGACTGCAGCTCCAGTCCCGCGCCCGGGACTGCAGCTCCAGTCCCGCGCCCGGGACTGCAGCTCCAGTCCCGCGCCCGGGACTGCAGCTCCAGTCCCGCGCCCGGGACTGCAGCTCCAGTCCCGCGCCCGGGACTGCAGCTCCAGTCCCGCGCCCGGGACTGCAGCTCCAGTCCCGCGCCTGGGACTGCAGCTCCAGTCCCGCGCCCGGGACTGCAGCTCCAGTCCCGCGCCTGGGACTGCAGCTCCAGTCCCGCGCCCGGGACTGCAGCTCCAGTCCCGCGCCCGGGACTGCAGCTCCAGTCCCGCGCCTGGGACTGCAGCTCCAGTCCCGCGCCTGGGACTGCAGCTCCAGTCCCGCGCCTGGGACTGCAGCTCCAGTCCCGCGCCTGGGACTGCAGCTCCAGTCCCGCGCCTGGGACTGCAGCTCCAGTCCCGCGCCTGGGACTGCAGCTCCAGTCCCGCGCCTGGGACTGCAGCTCCAGTCCCGCGCCTGGGACTGCAGCTCCAGTCCCGCGCCCGGGACTGCAGCTCCAGTCCCGCGCCCGGGACTGCAGCTCCAGACCCGCGCCTGGGACTGCAGCTCCAGTCCCGCGCCTGGGACTGCAGCTCGAGTCCCGCGCCTGGGACTGCAGCTCCAGTCCCGCGCCCGGGACTGCAGCTCCAGTCCCGCGCCCGGGACTGCAGCTCCAGTCCCGCGCCTGGGACTGCAGCTCCAGTCCCGCGCCTGGGACTGCAGCTCCAGACCCGCGCCCGGGACTGCAGCTCCAGACCCGCGCCTGGGACTGCAGCTCCAGTCCCGCGCCTGGGACTGCAGCTCCAGTCCCGCACCGGGGACTGCAGCTCCAGTCCCGCACCGGGGACTGCAGCTCCAGTCCCGCGCCCGGGACTGCAGCTCCAGTCCCGCGCCTGGGACTGCAGCTCCAGTCCCGCGCCTGGGACTGCAGCTCCAGTCCCGCGCCTGGGACTGCAGCTCCAGTCCCGCGCCTGGGACTGCAGCTCCAGACCCGCGCCTGGGACTGCAGCTCCAGTCCCGCGCCTGGGACTGCAGCTCCAGTCCCGCGCCTGGGACTGCAGCTCGAGTCCCGCGCCTGGGAGTGCAGCTCCAGTCCCGCGCCTGGGACTGCAGCTCCAGTCCCGCGCCTGGGACTGCAGCTCCAGACCCGCGCCTGGGACTGCAGCTCCAGTCCCGCGCCTGGGACTGCAGCTCCAGTCCCGCGCCTGGGACTGCAGCTCGAGTCCCGCGCCTGGGACTGCAGCTCCAGTCCCGCGCCTGGGACTGCAGCTCCAGTCCCGCACCGGGGACTGCAGCTCCAGTCCCGCGCCCGGGACTGCAGCTCCAGTCCCGCGCCCGGGACTGCAGCTCCAGTCCCGCGCCCGGGACTGCAGCTCCAGTCCCGCGCCCGGGACTGCAGCTCCAGTCCCGCGCCCGGGACTGCAGCTCCAGTCCCGCGCCCGGGACTGCAGCTCCAGTCCCGCGCCCGGGACTGCAGCTCCAGTCCCGCGCCCGGGACTGCAGCTCCAGACCCGCGCCCGGGACTGCAGCTCCAGTCCCGCGCCCGGGACTGCAGCTCCAGTCCCGCGCCCGGGACTGCAGCTCCAGTCCCGCGCCCGGGACTGCAGCTCCAGTCCCGCGCCCGGGACTGCAGCTCCAGTCCCGCGCCCGGGACTGCAGCTCCAGTCCCGCGCCCGGGACTGCAGCTCCAGTCCCGCGCCCGGGACTGCAGCTCCAGTCCCGCGCCCGGGACTGCAGCTCCAGTCCCGCGCCCGGGACTGCAGCTCCAGTCCCGCGCCCGGGACTGCAGCTCCAGTCCCGCGCCCGGGACTGCAGCTCCAGTCCCGCGCCCGGGACTGCAGCTCCAGTCCCGCGCCCGGGACTGCAGCTCCAGTCCCGCGCCCGGGACTGCAGCTCCAGTCCCGCGCCCGGGACTGCAGCTCCAGTCCCGCGCCCGGGACTGCAGCTCCAGACCCGCGCCCGGGACTGCAGCTCCAGTCCCGCGCCCGGGACTGCAGCTCCAGTCCCGCGCCCGGGACTGCAGCTCCAGTCCCGCGCCCGGGACTGCAGCTCCAGTCCCGCGCCCGGGACTGCAGCTCCAGTCCCGCGCCCGGGACTGCAGCTCCAGTCCCGCGCCCGGGACTGCAGCTCCAGTCCCGCGCCCGGGACTGCAGCTCCAGTCCCGCGCCCGGGACTGCAGCTCCAGTCCCGCGCCCGGGACTGCAGCTCCAGTCCCGCGCCCGGGACTGCAGCTCCAGTCCCGCGCCCGGGACTGCAGCTCCAGTCCCGCGCCCGGGACTGCAGCTCCAGTCCCGCGCCCGGGACTGCAGCTCCAGTCCCGCGCCCGGGACTGCAGCTCCAGTCCCGCGCCGGGGACTGCAGCTCCAGTCCCGCGCCTGGGACTGCAGCTCCAGTCCCGCGCCTGGGACTGCAGCTCCAGTCCCGCGCCTGGGACTGCAGCTCCAGTCCCGCGCCTGGGACTGCAGCTCCAGTCCCGCGCCTGGGACTGCAGCTCCAGACCCGCGCCTGGGACTGCAGCTCCAGTCCCGCGCCTGGGACTGCAGCTCCAGTCCCGCGCCTGGGACTGCAGCTCCAGTCCCGCGCCTGGGACTGCAGCTCCAGTCCCGCGCCTGGGACTGCAGCTCCAGTCCCGCGCCTGGGACTGCAGCTCCAGTCCCGCGCCTGGGACTGCAGCTCCAGTCCCGCGCCTGGGACTGCAGCTCCAGACCCGCGCCTGGGACTGCAGCTCCAGTCCCGCGCCTGGGACTGCAGCTCCAGTCCCGCGCCTGGGACTGCAGCTCCAGTCCCGCGCCTGGGACTGCAGCTCCAGTCCCGCGCCTGGGACTGCAGCTCCAGTCCCGCGCCTGGGACTGCAGCTCCAGTCCCGCGCCTGGGACTGCAGCTCCAGTCCCGCGCCTGGGACTGCAGCTCCAGACCCGCGCCTGGGACTGCAGCTCCAGTCCCGCGCCTGGGACTGCAGCTCCAGTCCCGCGCCTGGGACTGCAGCTCCAGTCCCGCGCCTGGGACTGCAGCTCCAGTCCCGCGCCTGGGACTGCAGCTCCAGTCCCGCGCCTGGGACTGCAGCTCCAGTCCCGCGCCTGGGACTGCAGCTCCAGTCCCGCGCCTGGGACTGCAGCTCCAGACCCGCGCCTGGGACTGCAGCTCCAGTCCCGCGCCTGGGACTGCAGCTCCAGTCCCCCGCACCTGGGATTGCAGCTCCAAGAAAAAGGTTGCGGGGAGACACAGAGAAAAGTGAGAAGCAGAGATAGGCATGAAGAGAAACGGGAGCAGGAAGAGGAGGAGCGGCATACTGCGCGCTACATTGGGATGGAATAACACCACCCCATTCTTGACCGTCCCATTCTCAACCCCTTTCCATTCTTGACCTTTCCATGCGCCTCCCAACAGCCCCCAGCCCGTCCACAACTCCCCCTGCAAGCCCCCTTCCAGCCCCGTGTCTCACCGACGGGCCCCGCCTGCACGAAGAGCTCCCAGATGAGCTCCTCCGACATCTGCGCTCGTGGGGCGTGGCGCGCGGGGGAGCAATAGGGGGACAGGGGCCCAGAGGGGAAAAGGGGGAGGTATGGGTGGAAAGGGGCACAGGGGAAAAAAAGCATCACGGGGGGAAAGGTGCACACACAGGTGAGAAAGAGGGGAGGCAGGGGGAGGGCCAAAGGGCCAAGGGGTGAATGAGGGGGAGCGTTGGGGGGAAAAGGGCACAGGAGGAAGAGGCGGAGCATGGGGGATCAGGGACACAGAGGGAAACGGGGGTCGCATTGAGCACAGGGGGAAAAGGGGTGGGGCATGGGGGAAAAGGCGGAGAGGGTAAAGAGGGGGGACGTGGGGTGAGGGAAATGGTGAGCGTGAGGGGGGACAACGGGCACAGCGGAGAACGTGGGGGAGCGTGGAGGGGACAAGGGCACAGGGGATAATGCACAAGGGGGACAGGAGAGGGGGAAGGTAGGTAAAGGGGTAGGTAAAGGGGTAGGTAAAGGGGTAGGTAAAGGGGTAGGTCAAGGGGTAGGTAAAGGGGTAGGTCAAGGGGTACGTCAAGGGGTAGGTAAAGGGGTAGGTAAAGGGGTAGGTCAAGGGGTAGGTCAAGGGGTAGGTAAAGGGGTAGGTCAAGAATGAACAGAGTGGGGGCTGCAGGGAGGTTTTGCCGTAAGCAAACGCGGGATGGCTGAGGCCAATGCATGACATAGCGACGACGAGGACCCACAACCACGCGGATGCAACCGAGTGTTATTAGCGCACGGACAGCACTAAGCGCGCTGTGACGCACACGAGCGCAACGCACCTGCGCGTCGAGGTTGCCGACATAGGCGGTGGCGTCTTGGTTGCGCTCCTGCGCGTGCTGCCCGATCAGGTTCGCGCCCACCCCCGGCGTGATCCGCGTCGTCATCGCGTGCTGCTGCCGTTTACCAACACGCCCACAAAATCACTCGATCTACTCCCAGAAAAATATTCTCCAGGTTACGAATCGGTCGTTCGGTCGCTGGAGTCCTGGCTAGTCGTTTCCCGCAAACATTGGCCTACCGCCTCGCGTTGAGCTTCCGATCAGTGTCGAAGCGAGCGGATCGAGGCCAAGGTATCGTGAGGGGCACGAGAAAAAAAAGCGGGAGGAAACGAGAGAGATGCCTTCAAGTGGAGTCAAGGGGATGAGGGAACACAGACAAGTGTACTGAGAAATTGGAACAAAACAAAACGTCAGTCAACAGGTCCGGCTGAAGTAAAACGCCGCTCCCAGGTGGGCTTGAACCACCGACCTTATGGTTAACAGCCATACGCTCTAACCAACTGAGCTACGAGAGCTGTGTACCCTCTGTGTCCGCAATTATTGATAAAATCTATTGTATTTACGATCGTCTGCGGCGATGGAACGTTTTGTTGTACATTTTCACCATGGCTACCGCAATGCTCACCTCAGCGGCTGTTGCGCTCCCCCTGCGCTCAACGGCTGCCATCCCCGCGGCCCTTTCCTCCGCGCGCACCCGCGTAACCCCCGCGCTTCATGCGCGAATCACTGCTTCGCGCGCTCTTCCCCGCGTTCAACGCACGCTTGTTCGCGCGAAGGCGAGCGATGAGGGGAGCAGCACGGCGGAGATCGTGGGGGCTGTGAGCGGGCTGATTTCCGTTCCCGTGGTTGCGTGGTCGCTCTTCACCCTCAAGACCACCGGTGAGCGCCACCGTTCCCGCCACTTCCGCCGCCGCTACTCTGACATTGCCCCATTACCGCCATCCCTTGACATGCGCGATAACGATACCCATCTTCGCCTCCCATGCGACTCCACCGGCCTGCTGCCTTCCTTAATTTTCACCGCGCCCACTCCACACAACTTCGCAAAGTTACTGACCCCCTCCACTCCGCTTTCAACAAAACCCTTCCTTGTCCCTGCAGGTTGCGGGCTGCCCCCGGGGCCGGGCGGCAGTTTGGGCGCGCTGGAGGGCGTGGCGTACCTGGCGATAGTGGGGCTGGTGGGGTGGTCCGCGTACACCAAGGTCTCCACCGGCAAGGGGCTGCCCAACGGCCCCTATGGGCTGCTGGGGGCGGCGGAGGGGCTGGCGTACCTGACGCTGCTGGCGGCCGTGGTGGTGTTCGGACTGCAGCTGCTGGACTACGGCTACATTCCCCCGCCCGTGCCCGGGGAACAGTGCTTTGGTTAAGAGCTGCCCGGAGCTGTCGGGGATAAGAAGATGATATAGCGTTGCGACATGCTGCTGCCTTGTCAACTGGTGGCTTGCAGTGCTGGCTCAAACTGGTGTTGGAAAGTCTATTGACGTCCGTGCCGTATCTTGAGTCTTGATGCCTACATTGCATCTGGTTGGGGTGGTGCTTCATTTTTGGACTCCATGGCAGTGGCTGCTGACATTTGAATGCCTATGGGTTTGACTTGTAGAAACGGAGGAAGTGTAGGGGCAAGAACCTGCCATGCATGCAACAAAGGCTGCAGGTTATGTCACGTTACGAACAGCAGATTGAATAACCTTTGGAGACGGTTACCAATCAATGTGTAGTCACCAGGTTGACCACAAAGGAGACAGGTCACTGGTGTCCTGCCACAATCTGTGCATCCCAGTCACCTACGATACTCCTCATCCCTTTTCCTCCGTCTTCTGTCTTCATCAGTCCCGCGCTTTGGCCTCTCGGCCTCATCCTCCTCCCTTGTCCGCTTGTGCTTGTCATCACTGCTCTTCAACCTCTCTCGTTTTTCCTCCTCCGACTCCCGTCCTGCACCTCTCCTCTCTTCTAGATCATCCTTACCCCTCTCTTCCCGCTTCCCACGCCTCTCGCTACCTTCCCTGCTTCTGACCTTCCTCCACTCATCCTTACCCCTGCCTTCATCCTCCTCTCCTCTCAGCCTGTCATCTCCCCCTTCATTCGCTTCGTTCCTAAACCCCACATGCTCAATCGCACTCTTCCTTGACGCATGCCCATCCTTCCTCTCACGTTCTCCCTTCCCAGTCTGTCGCGCCTTGTGCCTTCCCTCTTCTCTCCTATCACCTTCTCTCCCCCTGACACCTTCCCCTCCGCCCTTCACCTCCTCAAATTGCCCTCTCCGCCCAGGAACTTCCTCTTGCGCCCATCTCTGGGTTCTATCATCGCCACCCTCCCCATTTCTCTCCATCCACGCCTCCCCTCTTCCCCCGCCTGGCCTCCCACCACGGCCTCTCCCACCATTCTCTCGCTCTTCGCGCTGCTCGAAAGTCGCCCTGCTGCGGCTTTCTGTTCCCCGTACCGTGTCCTCCTTCCCGCCCCATCCCGTGTCAGCGTTTCTCTGGTGGTGGGGAGACAGAAAAGGGAAACGCCAAGATTGGTTTAGGTCTGGGATCAAATCAGGCCCTGGTTCGTTAGTACCGAGCATGAGTCTTTTTGGTGTGCAGGCGAACGCTACCTGGGCATCATGGGAGAATCGGCAGTTGTCTCCGCGGGAGCACTCCCCTCTCTGGAATGCATAGCAGACTCCGTTCTCTTCCCTGCGCTTCTCCCGCTCCTCCTCATCCTCCTTGGCTATCCTCTTGTAGTCTGCCACGTGGTCCACCCTTACTATCCGCCCCGCAACCTTAGCGCCGTTCAGGTTGTCTACACAATGGAGGAGGGAGGAGCGAGAGGAAGGGTGAAAGGGGACTGTTGGGATGGGGAGAGCGAGGGAAAGCGTATGGATTTGTCAGGAACAAATCGAATGGTCCAGAAGAAACTTTTCTAGCAATCACAGCTGAATTGCTGATGCTGTGGGAGTTGTTGATGAATCTGATCCGAGCTGGTCACACTAAGGCATCAACAGGATACACCCAGGCCCATCATACGAAGGAACGCACCTACAGCGAGGATGGTGCTGCGCTGGTCCTCGTACGCCAGGAACGCGAAGCCCTTGGACTTGCCGGTGGACTTGTCCCGCACCAGATTCACATCCATTATTTCACCGTACCTGGCGAGGTGTCATGGGACGGTAAGGAGGAAGAGAAAAGAATGAGAAGGAGAACAGACAGGGAAAGTGAGAAAGAAGGCAGCTGGTCGAAGAAGCTTGACATATATTAGAAAAAAAGTCCGGCGCAACTTCTTACACTGCACTACAGCGGTCCGTACACGCGGAACCATGACACTGGAGTGGAAAAAGGGTAAAGTATGGGTGAGTCTTACTGGGCAAAGACCGCAAGGAGGTCGCCCTCAGTGAGGTCGTACGGAAGGCCCCCGACGTAAACGTACGCGGACTCCTTGTACTTGGCGTGCCATGATGCTTCGTCCGATACCCCTCTAGCTGTCTCTCGCGCTGTTATTTTCTGCGTGTTCTTGATCTGCGTTAGGGGATTCATGATGGCTAATGATCAGACGGGAACACGACTCCGCCGTAACCGCGTGAACCTCGCTTAGTCTCTAGATGATCAAGAAGTAACAGGAAGACTAACGCAGTGGCCCTTGATCACGCTGACTGCAAATGATCACGCTGTCTGAAAGGAATAATGAATGCCAGGAGGACTCTACTCCAGAATGCCACGATTCTGGTTCGAGGTGTCAGGATGCCTGGTTACAAAGGGTTTTCGTCTCAATACCAAGCACAGCACAGACGAGGAGAAAACTTCTTCACGAAAGTCAACGAATCCGTCAGGTGTCAGAACTTTCGTGATAACTGGTTACAACAGGGTTCTCAATATGCACAGTACATGGATTGTGATAGCCCATAAGAATACAGGGATTCCGATATCGTCTGATACCATCAGTACACCAAGGAGGCAGTCACAGGTCCCTCGAGATTATAGCAGGACACTTCAGACAGCCAGGTCCTGTTGTCAGCTGTCTATTCAAGCCGTGACACGCGCCGGCAGATGAGCATGGCCATTCGAAGATTTCCATGATCTGTTTGGAATCGCCGAGGCCGCTTGTAAGGTCCACAGCAGCTAAATAATCAGGGAGCGATGCAGGAAACCCCGTTCCAGCAATCCCTGTGCAGGAGTAGCGAGTCCCGACGGTCTTAGAGACCCAGTGACTGCACTTGCTGGATTCTGCCCGCCGACACTCAGCAAGCCAAATCACAGAGAGATCAGCACATCGCGAGCAGGCACTAGTGCGCTTGCAAACTTCTATTTTCTGGTGCTGTTGCGTTTTCGTTACCTTCGCTTCTCAAACTAATCGCGCCATGGCGTTCCTTAGTCCTTTGTTGCGGAGAATTATATTAAGCTACTTTTACGTGGCGATATGGATCGTTTTAAGCTTCTCCGTCATCATATTCAATAAGTACATCCTGGACAGGAAGATGTACAACTGGCCATACCCCATCAGGTGAGCTTCCAGAAGCTGCCTCGTGATCCACGTCGAATTCTAACAGAACGTCCACATTTCCGGGTTTTGCGCGTCTACCTCTTGCTCTACTCACCTCCCCATGTAAGCCCTTTTTAAACTCCCCTTCTTCCCCTTTTCCTCCCGCTTCTCCCCGTCCCGTTCCCGCCTCCCGCTCCGTCATCCAGTCTGACGATGATCCACATGGCGTTCTGCTCGTCGCTGGCGTTCGTGCTGGTGCGCGTGGTGCGCGTGGTGGAGCCGGTGGCCATGAGCCTCGAGATGTACGTCTCCTCCGTGCTGCCCATCGGCGCGCTCTACGCCATGAGCCTCTGGTTCTCCAACTCCGCCTACATCTACCTCTCCGTCTCCTTCATCCAGGTGCCACTCTCCCTCCTCACCTCTGGTTGACGGTGCTGTGCTTGTCGCTCTCCTCTGCTGCCACGACGTTGCCCTCGTAGTGCCTGTTATTATGGGGTCTTCGCCTGCTAAACTTTTACATGTATACAGCCTTGTTCCTGCCTTTTCTTTCTCTCCCCACTTCTCCACTTCTCCCCCCACTCCCCGCCCACCCCCCCCCCTTAATTCCTCAGCACGCATACTCTTCTCGTTCACTCTCTCCCACTCCCCCCTTCTCTTCCGACCCCCCCTCTTCCATGTCCCTTCTGCCTCTCTTTCCCCCCTCCGCCCCGCAGCTCACCCCTGCAGACCCCCTTCTCTTAGCTCACCCGTACTCCTCATCACTTCCCGGATTACCCCTTCCCCCTTCCCCCACCACCAGATGCTGAAGGCGCTGATGCCAGTGGCGGTGTACACGCTGGGAGTGGCGTTTCAGAAGGACGTCTTCCGCTGCTCCACCATGAGCAACATGCTGCTCGTGTCGGTGGGTGTGGGCATAGCCGCGTACGGCGAGGCCAACTTCAACTTCACAGGCGTCCTCCTGCAGCTCGCCGCCGTTGCCTTTGAAGCCACTCGCCTCGTGCTCATCCAGGTACGCCCCTGCTCTCCTGCATGCTTGACTGTGGCCGTGTGGTTAGTAGTTACCACACTACCCCTTCACTGATTTCTATCATCCTGTGCCCTGACCTAATATTCGACGCCGAGGAAAGCAGCTGATAGCCTGGTCCGGTGAAATGCATCTGTGACCCCAATACACCATGCCCCACTGATGTCTTTGCATGTCTCAGCTCGTCTCTCCCCATTCATCCCACGCCGCCCCTGCAGATCCTGTTGGCATCCAAGGGCATTTCGCTGAACCCCATCACGAGCCTGTACTACGTGTCCCCCACGTGCCTCATCTTCCTCACCATCCCCTGGTTCTTTGTCGAGTACCCCTCCCTCGCCCCGCACCTCGTTGCTCCACACCCCGACCTGCTGGTGTTTGGGGGCAACTGTGTGTGCGCCTTCGCCCTCAACCTCGCTGTCTTCCTGCTCATCGGCAAGACCTCAGCGCTCACCATGAACGTGGCAGGTCCGTAGACGTGTTTCTCTTGGTCTGACTTTGCCAGGTTCGGATGCTACCGTATCATCGCGTGTTGTGTTGCCATACCTCCTGATTGTTGGCCTCCGCTGGATCTCTTGCCCTGCAGGGGTGGTGAAGGATTGGCTACTCATTGCCTTCTCCTGGTCTGTCATCAAGGATAGGGTAACCGCCATCAACTTGTTCGGGTATCTTCTGGCGTTTGGTGGAGTGTGCTGGTATAACCACTCCAAGTTGCAAGTAAGTCGGCTATCAATCCCAGATACATTTGAGTTTTTTGTTTTGCATTGAGTCTAAGACATGTGACCCCTTTGCATGGTGTGCGTCGGCCACTGCAGGAAATGAAGTCCAAGGATGCTGCGAGGAAGGCTGCACAATTGGATGAAGAGGAGGGGCTCATTAAGGATGGTTCCTCCTCAGCAGACTCAGTAGTGCAAAAGAGGCAGTCTCAAAGCTCCTAGTGCATTCAAACCAGATGTATCTTAGGTTGTTACGTAGTAGGCAAAAAAATGTTACCGTACATGCTTGGTCATGGTTTACAGATGTACGGTACCAACTGTTCCCATCAACCTGGAAAATATGATTGCTACTTTAGCATTCAAATAAGGCGCTACACTACGATTCGTGTTAAGAAAAAGTTAGGCAAGGTACAGAGCGCCACGTGGTTCGATACCAGCCATGTTTCCCGCGCTCCTCGTCGACGAGGCTCGTCACGATGACCGACATTCCCAAGCAGCCCCTCCCTCCCACCTTGCTTGCCCGCCTGCCACCTCCCACGCTCCAGTTATCAAGGCTGGGGCCCGGAAAGGATCCGAAACACTGGAAGCACTTGGAGAGCAATCGTTTGCAACTCCAAGCCAGCATCACCTTGCTTTCTCAACCTAACTCGACGTGCTCTCCCATCGCCACGCCCGTTTCAGTCCGTCCCAATCGTCCTGCATCAGCGCGAGTGGGAGGTTCTGCCATTCTCTGTCAATCTCGCCCGAGGCCTGCCGTTCATGTCGACTCTCCGAGTCGCTTCCGCGGGATTGCGAATTCCACGCTCGATTCTCGTCGAGCATGCGCCAATTCAGGTGCGACGATACGCGATAAAGACGGCCCGAGAGTCTTAATTAGAGCAGGAATGGACTGAAAAGGATTAACCCTAGACTTCACCTACCCGTATGGTGGCGCAATTTCTCAAACAAGATGTTTACCATTCATGCAGCTTCAACTGTCTCCCTTGTTGCCCTACCCCGTCCAGACACTCTCGTGCTTAAGACCGCGGGCAGTGGCGTTGCTACCACGTCGACCGAAAGCCTTCGTTTCCCGGCCGTCGCTCCCCGCATCGTATCGCAGCGGCTTACAACGGGTATGCGCAGAGTCGCGGGGGAGCAGCAGCCACGAGTGTGCGGAGGAGGGGCGAGTAGAGGAGCGGCGAGCGAAGGCGGAGGGAAGCGCCGCAGACGAGACTGCGGAGTCCGCTGCCGCGGATTCGCCCGGCGTTGAATCAGGTGAGAAGCGCGCTGCCGCTAATTAGGGTTGCGTGGGGAAATTTTTCTTCGTCGAGCCAAGGTGGGGTGACAGGAAGGTCTTTTGGATGGTGTTGAAGACAGTTTGGCAAACCGTTCTCAGTGAGTCATAGTCGGCAGATGAGGCGCGCACGAATGGGTGGGCTGTACTGAGGGGACTTGGAGGCTTTCTCTTGACTTCCGTGCGCCTTTGATTCGCGCACTTCTGCCGTGCTGCTGTGGTCGCTCCTCAGTGGAATGGAGTGAAACAAACCACAGCTGAACACAAGCAGTCCGCACTTTTCACCAATGGAGCCGAATCAAGTAGAAGCCAGTTCAAGCTTGTCCTTTCCTCCTCCATCCTGACCCACTTTCTTTCCTAACATCCTCAACATCCCCCCCTCTCCCCCCCCCCTTCCCCACCTTACCTCCCCACCATCCCTCTCCACCGTCCCCTCCCCACCTCCCCGTCACCGCCACCCGTGCAGCACCAGCACCATCCGCCTTACCATCACTCCTCCCCGCCTCCACCGCCCTCCTCTCCGCGGCGTTCCTCGCCTTCTCGCCGCTCACGGGCGGCTTCGACCTGTCGGGCCCAGGCTCAGTCGTACAGGCAGTGGGCGTGCTGGCGCTCATAGTGGCCGTGCACGAGGCAGGCCACTTCCTAGCCGCGCGCTCCCTGGGCGTGCACGTGACGAAATTCTCCATCGGTTTCGGGCCTGTGCTGGCCAAGTACCAGGGCAAGGGCAAGGACGGCACTACCGAGAAGGGCGTGGAGTACGCGCTGAGGGCGTTCCCGCTGGGCGGGTTTGTGGGGTTCCCCGATGATGACCCCAGTGAGGAGGCCGTGTACCCGCCTGACGACCCCGACCTGCTCAAGAACCGCCCGATTGCTGACCGGGCGTTTGTCATCAGCGCTGGGGTGATCGCCAACATCGTCTTTGCCTATGCGCTGCTCTTCACCCAGGTGTGTGCTGGGCTGTGTGGCATGGTCGTTGCCTGACAATGACGGTTTTGTTATGAATGGAGCGCTGACTTTGTGCCAGACTGGTAATCGCTTGGTGCTGTTCCGGCATTGCAATGGCGTTTTTTTCGGTTGCAGTGGTTTGCCGCTCATGTTGCACTGGAATTGCAGCATCACAGCAGTGGTGGGCTCTCTGACGTTCACATTGCACAACATCATGGCATTGTCATGTGAGGTTGCCATGGATGACCCCAACAGAATCCACCTAGCTCTGCTCTTCACCACCATTTCCCCCGTCATCAACATAGCGCTGCCCTCACACACATTCCTCGTTTCCTTCCTCGCCCTTCCCTCCCTCCCTCAGGTAAACACGGTGGGTCTGATCCAGCAGGTATACCAGCCGGGAGTGATGGTACCAGACGTGGTGTACGGGTCAGCGGGCGAGCGCGCAGGGCTACTGCCAGGCGACCTCATAGTGGCGGCAGACGGCACACCGCTACAGCCGTCCAGCACTGCCGTCTCCGACCTCGTCAGCTACATCCGCGCCTCGCCCGGCCGCCCCATCACCCTCGACGTGCTCCGCTCCGTGCAGGCCCCGCCTCTCAGCGGGGGGGTGGACGGGGAGCTAACAGGTGTGAGTGCGGCAGGAGCAGCAGCGGCAGGGGAGGAGGCGGAGAAGCGCATGGTGAGCATCAGGGTGGTACCGGACGTGTCGTTCCGTGACGGTGGGGGCCGCATTGGAGTGCAGCTGGCGCCCAACTCCTACCAGGAGCAGGAGCGCGCCGACAACCTGCTGGACGGCACAGTAGCGGCCGGCAAGGAGTTTGGGCGGCTCATGGGGGCCGTGGTGGACGGACTTCAACAAATCATCTTCAACTTTGGTAACACCGCTGACCGCGTGTCGGGCCCAGTGGCTATTGTAGCAGTGGGGGCGGAGGTGGCGCGCACCAACCTCTCGGGGCTGTTCCAGTTTGCAGCCATCGTGAACCTGAACCTGGCGGTGGTGAATCTGCTGCCGCTGCCGGCGCTGGACGGGGGGTATCTGGCGCTGCTGGCGGTGGAGGCGGTGCGGGGGGGGAAGAAGATCCCCGTGGATGTGGAGCGAGGCATCATGTCGTCGGGCTTCCTGGCGCTGCTGGGTGCCGGTATCTTCCTCATCGTTAAAGACACCATCAACCTTGGGTTCCTGTGACCGTCAATCGTGATGCGTGGCCTTCCTGCCACTGCTGTCTGAATACTGATGCTAGCACTCCAAGGGGTTGGTCTGCCTGGTCTCTCTAAAGAATTGTGCTTGTTCTTTAGCTGTCTCCTGACTTGTACTTATTTTCTCTCCACAAGAGAGTTTCAAAGCAAGAGTTCAATTCAAACCAGCTTGTCAAGTTCACCAATCTTTCAAAGGATGACGTTTTTCAAATGACCATTTGACAACTGAACTGCATTTAAAAATTAGGCTACAAAATTAAACAGGAAAGCAACTCCAGCAATACCGCACTAAGGGAGCTGGGAGAACCACATCCGTCACTCATCCTCCTCACCCTCGCCCTCCTCATCCCCCTCCATCAAATCCCCCTCCTCATCCTCCACAAACCTCTCCTCTTCCTCATACTCCTCCTCACTCCCCTCCTCATCATCCTCATCCTCCTCCTCCTCATCCACCCATCCCTCAGCCCCAAACAACCCCTCCTCCACACCAGTCGCATCCTCCACCTCCACATCGCTATCATCCCCCTCCTCATACACCGTCGCCGCCCGCACTCCTCCACCCGCCCCGTCCCTCTCATACCCCCCACCGCCCCTACTCCCCGCAACCCCCTCTCCACGCGCACCCTCCTCTCCCCGGGTCTCCCTGACAGCCATCACCACCAGCTGCAGCCGCCCAGCCAGCTCCAGCATGGGTCGCAGCGCCGCAACACGCGCCTCCACCGTCTGATACAGCGCTGCCAGCGCCTTGTGCGCCGCGGGCGCCGACGCCAGCATGCCCGCATGACACGTGAGCGCGGCCTGCATCCACGGCACCATGGATAGCGCCTCCCCCGGGTGCTCCTGCACGCGCGCCGCCACCACCTCGACTAGCTTGAGCGCCAGGTGCGGGGGCAGGTGGCGGACCGTGGGGAGGATGAGGGCGCGGCGGCGCATGGTCATGGCGGCTTCGAAGCACTGGCGCAGCAGCGGCATATCGCCCGCCTCCAGCGCCTGCTGCACCACCACTGACAGCGACTCCGCCCTCGGCGCCGCCAGCACCTCCATTGTCTCTGCGCGTGGGCCCCCCTTGACGGGCACCAGTGCGGAGGAGTGGGGCTTTTTGGGGGCGGAGGGGGCGAGGGAGTGGCCGGAGGGGGAGATACCGAGCTCCTTGAGCTGCTCCTCTATTGTCTTCTCCGCTCCCCCGCTCACGCCCTCCATCGCCTCGCCTGGCCCAACTAAAGCGGCATCGGCACCAGCGCCTGTGGCGGGAAGCAGCGCCTCCGCCTGCTCCTCTGCTGCCTTGCGCTTGTTCTTCTTCTTCCGCTCCTTCTTCCCCTCCCCGTCCCCCTCCGCCTCCGCGAGGCTCGCGCGCAGCACGGGCGCCTGCATGGGCATGCCCCCCACCACCTGCACTCCGCCTGTGTCTTCCGCCTCCGCTGCTCTCCCCTTCTTTCCCCCCTTTTTGCCCGTCTTGCCGCGCGCGGCGCCTTCCGCCTGCTCCTCCACCTCCCCGTGCCCCTCCCCCCCGTCCGCGCGAACCCTCGTTCCCCCCGCGGGCAGCAAATCCGTCGCCTCGGGCGCGCTCAGCAGAACGACACGCGGCTCGCCCTCGTTGCCCTCCTGCACCTCGTCCAAGCTAACGTTCTCGAACTGCGGCCTCGCTAGAATGCCACGCGCTACAAGCATCGGCGATCCCGAGGCGTCCTCCGGCAGGTGCGCCGCCAGTATCGCCTCTCTCCCCTTCTGCCCCTGCCGCACCTGCCCCTGCCCCGCGCCTTTCACTACGCGCTCCCCCTTCACCACCACAGGTTGCGCGCGCGCAAGCGCAGGGATTGTTTCCCCCGTCCATACATACGCCTCGCCCTCCGTTGTCAGCGCCAAAACCCGAAACCCCGAATCGCTACCGCCGCTCCCCTTCGCGCACGCCACGAATTCGGGCGGCTCGGGCAGCGACAGCACAGCGAACGCCTTGCGCTTCTCAAATTCAGCGGAGAAGTTCCACACGGCCACGTGTCTGTCGCCTTCCGCGGCGCTGAAAGCGAAGCTCGAAGAAGGCGAGAACGCAATAGAGGAAACCTTTTCCGGGTGCCCGGAAAACTTGCGAATCTTTTCCTTGCTGCCCGCATCGAAAAGAGTCAGCTGCGAGCTGCCCACCATGAGCAGCGCCGGCCCGCCCCCCTCAGCCCCCGCCCTCACCGCTATGCTCGAAACGGGCGATTTGGACGCGCGGAACCGCGACAGCACCGCGCCGTCCGCCGCGCTCAGCTCGCTGATGTAGCCGTCCGTGCCGGCCGCGAACACGACGGGCGGCGCCGCAGCGGTGGCGGGGAGGAAGGCGAGCGAGACGATGCCGGCAGAATCTACGGAGGTCTGGCGCCACGCCACGGCGCCCATCGCCACGTCCCACGCGATGACGTCACCATACGCCGTGCCCAGCACCACTAGCGCGTCCGCCTGCGCGCCAGCCGCGCCCTTGCCTTTCTTCCCCGCCTTCCCCGCCTTCCCCTCCCCCGAACCCCGCGCGCGCTCCGCCCACGTCATGCACGAGTAGCGCAGCTCCAGGTGTCCGCGCTCGCCCTCCCCCGCGTCTGCGCCGAGCGGCAGAATGTCCCCGTCTGCTGAAACCCGGTTCGCCACGTCAGCACACTCGACGAGCAGCCTGCCGGCAACAGCGTCCCAGACCTTAAGACGGTTGTCCGCCATACACGTGGCGAGACGAGAGCCGTCGGCATTGAAGGCGATCAGGCGGGGTCTGCGGGATCTGCTACTGTGCGCCTTAATCGACGCCATCGTAACTCCTGAGCACGCGTAATGCAAGGTGGTGAGGAGCTTATTCGTGAACCTTGCACGACTCGGGATTGGAGCGATCAGGTCAGAGCGAGTGGATAATTGATATGCTCGACTAAACCAGCAAAACCCTTCGACGAGAACCCTAAATCTGGTGTAATAGCGGCAAAAGAATGGCTGGTCGGGGAACGCCAGTGGACAAGTAGGGCAGTTCTAGTGCCTGCCTGGGTGTGTGGGTGGCGCGGCTTCGCAAACGTAGTTTTGCGAAATGGCGAAGTCTGTTTCTGGAGCAATGGGCCTGTTCGCACTGTACCTTCTCACCTCGCAATCTCTGACAAATTCAGAATGCACTTCCAAAAAGCTGGGGAAGAAGCAATTTCATGTTTGTTTGGGCGATGTGATGCTAGAATGTTCCGGTGGAAAGATTGATAACGCGTACAATGCAGCTCGCCTGAAATTCCTTCCACATTCCCTCAGGTCCCCCGTGTTTGCTCCCTTCGCCTCCCTTATTCCTCTCTACACGCCCATCATTCTGATTCGCCCGTCGTTGCACTCGTTCTCACTTACGCCATACCTGTAGCGTGTCGCGCGCATCATTCCGTTCCGACCCACGCGCGTCGCGCGCATTCTTCCAATCGCCTCGTTTACCGCGTCACCGCCACTCGAGCCAATGGCCCCATCGCTCCGCGCGCACCTGCCCTGCGCCGCATCCCCTTCGCGCGCATGTCTCCCCCATAGCCTTCCTGCCAAATGCCCCTTACCTGCTCGCGGAAGTTGCGTGAGAGGGGGACCCGCCTTGCCCCTCTCCTCTTCACACACCCGCAATGGCCGGCCCCTTTTAATAAGGCGCTCATTTTCTGATAGACACAGACGCGCGCAATTCTCGCCGCGATCGTCGCTAGACTCCCCCCCTGAAGCGCAAGCGGAGACGCTGCCGGAATCCCCGCTTCCCTCCGCCGCCCCTTCCCCCACAACTCCGCCTGTCGAGCCCCGTCCCACGTGGCTGGAGTATGACATGGCGCTACACGACAAAGACCTCCCACGTGCGTTGTCCATCGCTACCGCTTTAGCCCCGCAGAAGACGACAGACGAAACCGCCCCAAAATCCGCCGAATTCCTGGATTTACCCGCGGTGACCGCGGGGATAGTGTCTGCTGGGGGACCGGGGCAGGCGCAGATCGAAGGGGGGCCTGCGGGGAAGCGGGAAGTGCGGGGGGAGGAGGCGGAGGAGGAGGCGGAGCGGCAGCGGCGGTGGCTGCAGCTGCTGGAGGCGGGGAAGGCGGAGAGCGACCTGCGCGTGGTGGGGCAGACGTACGAGTGGCTGCGCTCCCAGGGGCTCCTTAGAAACTTTGGCCGCTTCCAGATCAGCAGTGCGTGGCGGCGGTGGGGACAGAGAGCGAGGAGGGGGGACGAGATGAGTACAGTGAGGTGTGCTGAGAGCGGTGCCTCGAGACGGTTCTTGCTGAAAGAGGCTTCCCCTGTAGCTCACTGCCCCTCATGGCCTCTTTCCTTGCCTGCCTGTGCCCACTCCACCCTCCCTCCCCACGTGGCGCCACAGTATTGGAGGGCGTGCCACGGGTCGTCACTCCCAAGGTGCTCAAAGACCAATCTGGCCTAGAAGGTTCGTTCACATGCCTCCCTCCCTCCCTCTCGCCCTCCCACGCTCTCGCCTGCTACTTCGACTTGCATGCCTGCCACCCACCTCCCCCACGTGGCGTCACAGTATTGGAGGGCGTGCCGCGCTTCTCCCTCCGCACGTGAGTTTCCCCCTCGCCCTTTCGTCTTCCGCACCCCTCTCCCCCTTCCTCTTGTCCACCCACAACTTATCCCTCATTCGATCGTTGCTCTCCTCCCCCCTCCCCCCCAGCCAAGAACCTAGCCCCCCAGAAGTGGGGCATGTCATCTCCGCTGCTCCCCATAGCGCTCTTCGCGGCCTTCTCCGCCCTCGTGGATGCGGGGGTGGACCTGCGCCCGCTCGCCTTCATCTCGCTCGCCCTCGCCGTGGGGGACGCGGTGTACCTGGGGGGGGCGGGCGCGGGCCAGCTGCTCATGCTGCTCTGGGCGCCCTTCCGCGAGCGCGTGCTGGTGCACGAGGCAGGCCACATCGTAGCAGGTGGGTGGGGTGGCATAGGGCTGGGTGCATAGGGAGGTGGGCATGGACTAGGTGCTCTCTATTCGCTGCCTCAGCCATCCTCAAATCCCTCGTGCCGCACTCCTCTCCCCCACACGCCCCCACTCATCTCAACCGCACCCCACCCCACTCACATCCGCCACCAGCGTACCTGCTGGGGTGTCCGGTGCGGGGGGTGGTGCTGGACGCGTTTGAGGCGATGCGCATGGGCGTGAGGGGGCAGGCGGGCACGCAGTTCTGGGACGAGCGCCTTGAAGACGAGCTGCGTGCGGGGCAGCTCTCCTCCGCCTCTGTCGACCGGTACATGCCAACACAGTTGCCTTCACTCCTCCCTGCTATCGCTCTCGCTTCGTCCTGTCTCTTCCCACTTGCTCTTTGCTCTCCGGAAACTCTCCTTCCAAACCTTCTCTTTGCCTGGCCTCCCCCCATCCCCCCTGCAGGTACAGCATAGTGCTGTTTGCGGGGGTGGCAGCGGAGGCGGTGCAGTACGGGCAGGCGGAGGGAGGGGAGGGCGATGAGAACCTCTTCAAAGCCTTCCTCTCCAACCTGCAGCCCTCCTGGTCCGGGCCCCAGGTGTGTGCGTGCTTGCCGCCGCTGTCCCTACATCCGCTCCATACTGTGTGCATGTCCACCATGCCACATCCACGTCTATGCTCATTTCCCCTAAATCTGTCTGTATGCTGCCACTGTGCCATCATTGCACATCAACGCTGTGTCTCACACCCTCTTCTCCCCTTTTCTCCCTTGCTCAGATGGCCAACCAGGCGCGGTGGGCAGTGCTGCAGGCGTATCTGCTGCTGCAGCGCAACCGGGCGGCACACAGTGCAGTGGTGGAGGTGCTCAAGGCGGGTGGCGGCATGGGGGACGTGGTGATGGCCATAGAACAAAACATGGCCGGCTGACGCTGACTCACTGCAAGGAGGGCGCTGAGATAGGTGTAGCAAGGTGTCAAATCTGTGAATATGTGTGGTCTTGTGGTGTAACAAGCAATACTATGCGTTTATTACCGTTCATAAGGTATGTGCAGTTACATCAATCGAAATCACGATTTCATTCTTTAGTTGCCTCTCCCGTATTGAGACTCCTGTGTAACAGGTCTGATCAATATGGAATGTTTATGTGATGATGGCTTCACTTGTGATGATTGAATCTGGATTGCTAATCTGCAGTACCGGTCGCTGAACTTTCAGGCCAGAAAAGCACCTGACTTGAACATGCTGCTGTACATTTACATTTCTGAAAAATACTTTGCCCAGACATTTCTCAGATTGCGAGACATTCTAGGCCCTACCCATAGTACTGATACACTAGTGTGCATTGTGTATAACAATCAAACGTTCCTCAAAGGTACACTCAGCCAATGTAATTCTGTCTAATCCTATCAACCACAGGTTCACAGCTACTCCATGGCAGCATACCATCCATGCCCACCCCGGCACGGACTGGCAGTGCACTGCACAGGCAGAGAGGAAGGCTGAGCCTTGAGCATTGCCAGGACCAAGACATGCGGGTGCCCTACTAGGGACTGGCTCTGCCCACCCCCACCTCCAACAAATGACATCACTGCTGGCCAGACAGCTTTGTCACTTGGTGGGGGCAGGAGGGGACAGAACCAGTCCGGTTTGGCCCGGAATCGAGTCCCCAGCCAAGGCTCAAAGCTTCACCCTTTCTCGTGCACTGGCAAGCAAGGCAACCCACTGGGACTGCCATGCTTGCTGCCAATGAAGACACCTGCAGGCAGAGAAAACCAAGAAAGACGCATATTAGTGCAGGCTCTTCAAAAATGAAGGAAGAAGCAAATCAGCAAACAAAAAAATCAGGAGCTGGCTACTGCAAGAACAAACCATGTGCATAAAATTCGAGCTCGGAGGCAAGGGCTGAGACTTATCTGAAGTTAAGGAGATTGGAGTGTGGAGTGCAGCGCAAAATCTTGGTAGTCCATGGGCGTGCAGAGGGCGCTTGAAGAACCTGCCATGAGGCGAAAAAAAAAAAAAAAAAAAAAAAAACAAGTCAGTGAATGGGGATTTGAAGATGAGCTTGATCAAAAATCATAAGGCCAGCAAAAGGGGTAAGCAGTGGAGTAATACAATAAAGCAAGGGAAATGGCTGAGGTTGACAACTTATCTCGCCATGGGTGAGTGTTGAGGCGCGTGTGCAGGCCAGTGCTTGCATGGATCTTGGGCTTGCCGGAGTGTGAAGCGGTGTGCAAGGTCTTGGGGGTCCATGGCGTGTAGATGGCGCTTGGAAAACCTGCCAGGAGGCGAAATAAAACAGGTCAGTCAATGGGGAATTGAAGCACATCTTGAAAAAAAAATCAAAACAAGGAATCAGCAAGAAAGTAAGGGAAAAGGCTGAGGTTGGCAACTTATCTTGCCATAGTTGAGCCTTGAGGCGCCTCAGCAGGCCATGGTGTTCCCATGGATCTTGGGCATGTTGTAATCTGTTGGTGAAGCAACCTGCCAAGTGAAGTCAGGAAATTCGAGTGAGTAAACCAAGTCAATGAAGTAACATGCAGCAAGTGACTAAAACGAAACTTACTGCTGGTGGAGAGAGAGGAGGCAACTGCCAGGTGCTGTTGGCAGGTACGTCCACCTCGCCTTGGAGCTTGGCAGTGCAGTGCTCCTCTGAGCACATCTGGAGTATGGCACAAGGGCCTTGAATAAAACCTGCTCATAGATCAAAGGAACTATGTTAGTGAACAGCAGTGAACTGAGCATAAACTAAGCGTTGCAAATGAGCCGGGTACCAACTGAAAAACCTTAAGGGGACCTTTACCAAACCTCAACCTGTACCGGGGGGGGTGGTTCTATGGAGAGTGAAGGGTGTGAAGAGGCTGGAATTGACAACTTATCTTGCCATAGTTGTTGAGCTTTGAAGCGCTTCAGAAGGCCCTAATTGTCCCATGGATCTTGGGCATGCTGAAACCCCTTGGAAAGCAACCTGCCACGTAAAGACACAGAAAGCTAAGTTAGAAAAGTCAACAGACGAAAACGTTTCAACATGCAGCAAGTGACTAAAACGAAGAGGGGCGAAACGAGACTTACTGCTGGTGGAGAGAGAAGGGGCACCTGCCAGGTGCTGTTGGCAGGTACGTCCACCTCGCCTTGGAGCTTGGCAGTGCGGTGCTCCTCTGAGCACATTTGGAGCATGGCACAAGGGCCTTGAATAGAACCTGCAAGGAGATCAAGAAAACAAGGTTAGTAAACAGCAGTGAACAAACCAAGCAGAAATGGACGGTGCTGCGGTGCAAGTGCCACAGAGCCTATACCAACCAAAAAAAACTTAGGGGGACCTTTACCAACCTTTACCAACCTCGACCTTTACCAAACCTGAACCTAAACCAAGGGGGGTGGCTCTGTGGCGTGAAGAGGGTGTGGTTGATACGTTCAACCTTCACCAGCCGTGGAGCTTCTCCTCTGTTGTCCTTCATGATACATGGAAGGCGGCCAAATGAAAAACGAAGTAGACCCTCAGATAAAACCTGCGAGTAAAGAAAGAAACGAGGATTAGTAAAGGTCAGGCAGCAAAGCATGCAAACGAAAAGAAGCGTGGAAAAAAACATGTGTTGCTGCAACACAGAGCCAAATACCAACCGAAAAACCTTCAGGGGGAACCTTTACCAATACCTGACCTGTACCTAACCTCAACCAGGGGGGGGCTCTGTGAAGCGTGAAGGTGGAATTGATACTTCAACCTTCACTCGCGGAGCTGCTCCTCCGTTGTCCTTCATGAAGCATGGAGAGCCCCGAAGGCCGTTGCTCCTCATTAATCTTCGGAAGTACGCCTCGCAGCCTCCATAAGAACCTGCGATTGTAGACAAACATATAGTTAGTATACGGAATTGAAGAAAGCATGCAACGGAAATAACGACTTTGCGAAGTGAAGAAGCGTGTGCTGCCCCACCACAGAGCCAGTACCAACCTGTACCGAAAAAAAAAACCTCCTGGAGACCTTTACCTAACCTGTACCGAACCTTTACCAAACCTTAACCGGGGAGGAGGCTCTGTGGTGAGTGGTGGTGGAGGGTGATACGTTCAACCTTCACCATGACGACTCGTGGAGCTGCTCCTCTGCTCCTCTGGTCGATCGATGGCATTTCAGCCACGTCGTAGCTGGCGTCGCGACGAGGCCGAGGACGCAATCTTGATCCACGGCGATCCCATGGTTACCATGATGTCCTGCGAATAACAGCACAGCGAACGTCTTAGTCCGGATCGAGGTCGGAAGAAACTGAAGTGGTAGTCGCGTACTTTATTGGAATCAGATTGCTAATACGAAAACGAAATAGGGATAATTGTTGTACCTGACATCGTAAACGAAGATCTGCAGGCGAAGCTGACTCGGTAACGTGGCAAAAACTCCCACGGTCGACGTTGTGAAGCTCCGCGAACCAAGGCCAGGTTGACCGGTGAACACGTGACAAGCTAGTGATGGTTCGGAAGTGGTGGAGCCAAGCTCGTCTGGCAAAAATGGCAAGGATGCTACGGAGACGAACTAAAAGTCTGAGATGAAGAGCCTGGAATCAGAATGAGCCTGATGGCCGTGTGGATCGTCTGATTGCGGACCGTTGGGCTTCGTTACGTGGTGAAAACAGCCTATCGTTGGGATCCTGCATTGCTGGATCATGGTGGATCGGAACAGAATCAACAACAATACGAACTCCAACTTCTGATTGGACCACCTAATGTGGAAGCTGTAATCCGCTACCGGAACAAGATCACGTGTCTCCAGTTTGGGACACGTAGGCTGTTTGAACGGCCAAAAACGAAGTAAGGGTGGACACATCGATTCCAGAAATCTAGTGACGTGGCCAGCCGCTAATCCAACCGGCGCCGATCAATTCCCGAAGCGTGCTGCCAAGAGCTGCTCTAATGCGTAGAAGGCGGCTGAAAGGAGTAGAGTTGGGAGGGAAACGAAGATTTGTTAGGGTCGTCTGACAGAAGCGGCAGTGTGAGAGAGGGAACGGAGGTGCTCTAAAATCATCTTCCGCCTGAGGGAGAAGACTTGTTCTCGCGAACTGGAGGGCTCACAGGTAACTTCACTGGTGAGATGGGTTTCGCTAACTCGTGTTGTGATTGGATTGGGTGATTGTCAGGTTCTCGAGATGTCTGGTCTGAAGACGTGGTTCGCGAAAGGTATAGCGTAGTTAGGCGAAACGCTTCGCCAGCCTGGGTATGTGCAGATCTGGTGGGTGTGGGAAGGGAAAACGCAGGTATGTCGGATGTGTGACGGAGGGTGGAATCGGGTTGAACACGGTTCGAAGAATTTCAGAGGGTTTGCAGTGCGCTGAGAAGTCAATCCCACATCCTCGGGATCGTCACCCGCAAATTTCCGCCTACACTGGGTTCAAGTGTTCAGACCTAAATCGATCGCATCGCGTCGCAGCGGCATTGCTGGGCGTGAGCGAGGTCGTGTGGGTGAAGTACTGCGGCATCCCTACGACCTTGAGAAATATTTTTGAAACACTTCCACTGTTTGCCCAAAACAAATGCTTACGGTACATAAGCATATGGCTTTTGTAATCAACAAGTCCAAATTTGGCTTCCAAGGTATACCGTTCAACATTCATCTGGATGTGTAGGAGTCACCACAACCTTGGGCAGTGGAAGAGCAGAGCAGTTGTAAGTCATGTACCATGGAAGGTTATACTGGATTAACAGCTGCATTGCTATTCTAAGATCACACACACATATGGTACAGAGGTGCAACATCGCCCAGCACGGCCCAGAGCACTGGCAGCACACTAGGGATGAGATGGTCCACATTGCACAGCGCATCACCCAGGCAGGGTTCATGGCACAGCTAATGAGCGATAGCCCCCACAGTCTTCACATGCACCCCCAGGTCTGTTGAAGCTGCATTGATTATTTTCCATTGCCGCACTGGGGATCAACATTTAAAGAGCGAATGGCATTTGTGCTATCATGAGAGAAGGGGGGGGCAGCAGTTGAGCAGTGAAGCGTGCAGAGGGGCAGAGGGGAGCAGGCAGGAGACACGAGTGCATTGGGAGGCAATGCACCCGCAGCACCACAACAGAGAGGAGGGGACAACCCCTCTCTCTGCTGCAGGACTCAGCCCTCTCAATGCCCAGCTCCCTCCCTCTCCTGCACCGCATCCTCACCCCTCTTCCTTCCGCCTTCCCTCCCTCCCCCTGACCCTTCCACTCTCCCTTTTTCCCCTCCCCGCTCCCCCTCTCTCCCCCTTTTCCCCCCTACTGCTGCAGGCGCGGGGGCGGGCGGAGCCACTGCTGGATGGGGCCGGCGACCTTCTCCTTCTTGGCCTGCACGCGCTGCAGACGCGCCACGTACTGCTGCCGCTTGGCGCGCAGCCGCGCCAGCTTCTCCTCTATGCGCGCCAGCTTCTCGCGCACCTGCTCCTCCGCCTCCCCCCACTCCCCCTCCTCATCCTCCCCCTCCTCCTCGTCCTCCCCCGCTTCCCCCTCCCCGCCCGCCCACCCGTTCAGCTGCCCCTCGTCGTGACTCATGCTGCGCTGGCACTGCCTTCCCCCGTGCGCGCCGTGTCCCCCGTGCCCCCGCGCCTTCTCCCGCGATCTGCTGCGGTGGGCGGAGCGAGACTCTCTTGGGGGAACCGGCGCGCCCGCTAGGGGCATGTTGAGTGGAGACAGGGGCGCGGGAGGGGTGGGAATGGGCGGGATGGACCGCGACTGCTGTTAGGGTTGGGGGAGGGGAAGCGCAGGGGCGCGGAAGAGGGGGAAGGCGATCGTGGGAAAGGTATACGGCGCGGAGGGCGGTGAATGGAACGACACTCACGAGGAAAATCCATGCACGCAAAAGCACACTCCCTACGCTTCTTACCGAAGTTCCTTCGCCCGCTGCCGCATTGCTCCGCCGTCCGCTTCCGCCATGCGCGCCACTTCCGCCGCCGTCCGCCTGTGGCCACCCGCTAGGCGGCCATTCTCCCGAAGCCGCGCACCCCGCAGTCTCCCCCTCCGCCCGCCTCGACGGCGACGCTTCGCCGCCCGAGCTCGCGGGATGCTGCGCCAGCGAGTGCGCGAGCGCCGCTTGCGCCAGCATCGGCATGTCCATGTCCATTAAATGCATCTCCGGCATATGCGGCGCGGGACTCAGCGGGGTCGGCGCCGATGCTGTCGGCCCTAAAACCGGGCTGACCGCGCCGCTGTCGAGGTGGAAGGGGCTCGCCGGCACGCTGGCCTGCTGCTGTGGCGGCAAGCCGAGGCGCGTCTTCTCGCGGCTGCCGTGCGACAGCGACCGCGCGAGCTGCGGCCGCGGCAGCGCCGCTAGCTGCGACTCGTCCATCCGCTCGCTCCGGCTGCATTGCTGACCGTTGGATTCCATCGAGTCGCTCTCGACGGCGAGCGTCGATTGCGGTTTCTGCTTCCCGCGGCCCTGCAGGCTACGCAGCGCCTTGCTTAAGATGTTTCCTTTGAGCTTCCACGACGGGCTGCGACTGCCGCCGGGCGACCCGGCGGAGTTGACGCGCGAGGCGGCTCGCTCGTCGACGGGCGCGGGGCGCGGGCAGGCGGTGTGAGCGGAAGCCATGGCGGAGGGGGCGGAAGGGGCGGAAGAAACAGCGCGCAGCTGGTCGGGTTCGCAGGGGGGAATGTGTCGGGAAGTCGGATCCGCGGAGCCGTCGCTCCCCATGCAGGGGATGGGGGATTCTGGTGCGCGCTCTTGCCACGAAGTAGACACGGATTGGAGTACACGGCCTTACAATGCGTCCACGAACCTGAAGAATTTTCGTATTTCTTATTGCAAGGGTAGTAGTATTAATGGTTGAATGCGATGCATACTAACGGAGACGGTCACTAGGAATATCGACGGAACTAGCTGTGAGAACGCTATGAACATGGGAGAGAAATGCGATGCACCATGTGCGGGGAAGTCGCATGTGCGATGTACGATGACTCAAGCTCGTCCCTCTTATACAGTAATAGGCTACAGGAGTTGCGGGAACAAGGTCAGGAACAACCTTCACTACGTGAAACTGGGAGGAGAAAGACAAGAACAGCCAGAGGTGAAAATGGAGTGGGCTTTACAGTGGGGAATGGGTCCGTGGGATGGCATGGGATTGCGCTTGCGCACTGGCAGGAGCGGAAAAGCTGAAGCTGCTGCTCATTGAACTGCACCCAGCAGATACGGAGGGTGCAGATGAGTCCCTTGCGGGAATCGTGCGGTTGAGATTATGAAGCGCGCGGAAAGATCCAATGGATGGGACACACAGGGGATTTGCTGGATGTCGTTGCGCCGAGCCCTGGGTGGGGCTCTCTCACTCCACTGCGCAAGGCTCTCCCCCCCCCCACCCCCCCCCCCCCCCCTCCCTGCTCCTCCATTCGATTCAGCTTCAAGACAGAACCTGTCTCGGGCGCATGGTGATTCGCGTGAGCTCTTGAACCTCGGTGAATACCTTAAAATATATTTGTAACCGATGTGGAGCCTTTCTGGGCTTGACGAGTCAACGCACCCTAACCTTCTTGGCTTGTGCGCATGGCTCTCCCTTCCCCTTCGCTCCGGAAATCCCCCAACCACCCTTTCCGCGCATGCTGCTTGTCCCCACACCACCGCAAGCCAACAGGCACCCCTGAGCGGCTGGTGCCTGCCAGCCACGAATCACAGCACAACCGTACGGTTGTCTCCCCAATGGGCCATCGGCACGGCATGGCCAACACCACAGCAGCCGCTCAGTCCACGGGCGGGCACACCGCACCACGGGCCAACATCATAGACATGCAAATTAGTCTGGTAACCCTATTCGATGGTATGCAAAACCGTCGATACCCCAGTTCTGCGTCGCAAATTTGTCTGGTAGCGCCACTCAAAACACTGTGTAACAGCTGACGCAGCACAAAAAGGGTGCAATGGGTGCAACAATCAAATGCGTTTTCGATTTCGTTTCATTCGTTTTTTACCGCGCTCCGTTCGGCGCGTGACAAAGATTCCTGCGGGCAACTATTTTGCACGAGAATTTTTACAGGAAATTCCGTTAGAAGTTCACGGTGTCTTTTTCGTAACAATATATTGCACCCAATATATTTCTACCGATTACTGCTAGGGCAGGCAGGAAAAAAAACCCCTAGGGACCTGGACTCATTTCAGGGAGGGATCAACCCTAAAAACGGGAAAGGACATTGTTTTTAGGGTTGATGCCTCCCCGAGTGCATCCCTGTCCGATTGGGTTTTATTTTTCCTGTCAAAAGAAGTGAACAGTTTTTCTTATCTGGCAGAACAGTCGCCCGAATAAATCAAAATTAAGCGGAAAGATAAGCGCGGTAGAAATCAGTGTGTCCAATAAAACAACCTAGATACTAGCGCAATATGTCAATACCCCCAAAACCGAGGTATCGACGGTTTTGCATACAATTGCATAGGGTTACCGTACTATGTTGCATGCCAGTGATGTTGGCCCCCACACCACTCATGCCAAAAAAAATGAGGCAGCTTGGCCGTTTTTGGCTTGCTTGCCTGTCAGTTGCCCTGGGAAGCCCTGGGTTCCAATTTCCAAACGACCCTTTTTCTATTTCAACCCGCGGAACAATACCAACTTATTATTTGCAGGAATAAGAGGCACAATTACAAGTTTCAGAGTCACGATTTCGGTCAACCATGACAGTTGACTGACCAACGAGTTTTTGTTGCGGGTTGAGACCGTGGACAAACAGAGAACTTCAAGCCAACAACCTCGGTCCCCCTGAAACAGAAAATACATCCCATCCCGATCGAGGTTGCAATGCGAATAGATGGCACGCTGTTCAGCGAAAGGTAAGGTGTAGAGGCCATTGTAATACATGCATTCTAGCAACCCCATTGCCCCACCTCTTAGCCTCAACCATATCCATCACCAGGATCATACTGAACTTGAAACATACAGAATGCCTTTGAATAACATTATAATACATACAGTACAAGAATGAAACAAACGAAACAATAGACATGTATATCAATGATGATTGTGAAGACTCTGCACCAGTAGCCACAAGCCCGAACAGGCTCTCGAAACCTGATACGGTACATATCAGTAGGCCACTTATTGACGCCCCTTGTCGCCTGCCCAACAAAGAACGCGCCATATCATGTGCAATCATCACCAGCAGCACTCTGACCTTCATTGATGCCACTCCGACAATCTGTTCTGCTGCTCCAGTTCCATCTGGTGCACCCGTTTCACATCACCTCCAGCAGTTGCACAGCATCCGTGTCACCCCCACTCTCACCCCTGCCATCACCATCTCCACTCCTGTCAGCACTGCAGCTCAGCGCCGCCCGACAATGGCACACAGGGCCGGAGCAGGAGCAGGAGCAGCTGTGCAGCTGTGTCAGGCTCAAAGCAGGGAGGTCGTGGCGCAGAGGGCTGCATGGAGGCTTGGAGGGCGATGCAGTTGCGGAGGAGCGGGTCTTGAAGAGGGGTGACTGCAGCACCGACGACATCAACGATCCAGGCCAGAAATCCAATGACCTGGTCTTTGCAGGGGATTTGAACGGCTCTTCATCTCTCCTTGCTGCCTCTGCCACAGCTGCAGCCGCTGCTGCTTCTCTTGTTACCATATCAGCAATTGCCTGGCTGGCATCGTCCATGGATCTTCTCCTGCCTCTCTCGCCATCAAAACTGCTACATGCCTGCGTGGTGACGATCCGGCCCTCATCCAGAGATGCCCGCCTATGGGCTGAGTGAACCTGCTGTGACCGTATCAACTGCTCTGCCTTGTCCATTGTGAGATTCGGCTTTGCCTCCTGCAGCACTCCTGGCTTGCCAAACACGCCGGGCGATGGTGCAGAGGCACAGGTGGTGGAGTCGCGAGGCGAGGATGGGAGGGTCGCAGGAGCAAGAGGAGTGGCGAGGGGCGGGGCGATGGAGGGATGGGGCGTGGGAGTGCCGTCGTGGCACACCATGTCGGAGACGCGTGCCAGCAGTGCACGGTAGAACTGGTCGGGTGGAAGAGAGGAAGCAGCGAGTGCGAGTGACAAACTTAGAAACTAGGGAGGAAGGGGTGCCAACAGGGATTGAAAACATGCGAGTACAGGGAGGTGGGCGGTTTGGGGGTTAGGTTGGCGGGCTCACCTTGTGGTACTCGAGGGTGTCACCCGCATCCTTGCGTGCTTCCACCATGAACACCCCCGGCGTCATCTCAAATATCTGCAGCGCCACGAGCGCACAAGCACAATCGTGCAGGACCCAAGGATAATGAGGGGTGGTGCGATAGCAACACTGGCCAAGTTCGCAAGGCGGGAGCCTGAGCCTGGCGCAGAAATGACTTTGCAGCGGAGCAAGCAACTGTGAGGTTGTAGATTTGAACACTGCTCGCAGCAAGGTGTGCGCGAGAAGAACAGACATGACAGGGACATCGGTGCTGGCTGGGGCTCCATGAGGAATGAATTGCCTGAGCGTGTGCGCAGGGCGGGCATTACCTGGATCACCACGGTCAGCTCTCGTCCTCTGTTCCTTGCAGGTCGGCAGAATCGGATCTTGAAGAGCTTGGCGTGGGCATCAGCGTGCAGGGCCGGCGCAAGCGCGAGGAGACGCGAGCGGATGAGAGCGGGCGGCAAGCGCGAGGCGAAGCGGGTTTGTCTCGGAACAGGGTCGGCACGGCGGTGAAAGAGCGCTCCTAGGTTCAGCGCGTGCGCACGTGCTATCAGGTCAAACGCGTTCATCAGCTCTGGACTCTCCTCCGCTGCTGCTGCTCCCACTCCACCCTCCTTCACTCCTCCACCTTCTGCCCTCTCTCCTTCGCCCCCCTCGCTCCCAT